GAGCAGAGGCTACTGGGAGGGAACCTGCAACACCTCAGGATGCAGAGAGGTGTTTGTGATGGTGCACGAGAACGCCAACCACAGCTTTTATTCACATGTCCTGAAATACGAAGTTGAGAGCCAGTAACACCCCTTCCTTGTTCTTTCACCGACCTGCATGAACCAACCTTTCCAACATGCCCAAAACCAACACAGCTTTAGAAGATTGCTCATTCTCTCAATCAGACCTGTTCTTTCAAATGAATACAGGACAACACTTGCAGGCTTTTGCAAGACCATGGGCTCAAAAGTTTAAAGAAGCAGAAAATCCTGTTAAGAAGGGAGCAGCAGAGGAAGAAATGAAATGAAACCCTCACCTATGTTTCAGCAATACTGCCCAGGCAAACACTTTGAAGAAAACAAATATCTGGCCATAGGTCATTCTGTGCCAGCAGTGGTTGCTGGCTTCCAAGTTATGGACCATCAGAAAAGTCTTACAATGGCTACTCCAAGAAGAATCCACCTAGTTACAGGGCAGGATGAAGAAAGTACACCCTGGTTTTGAGCAGCAATATTGGACACAGGGAACTTCAGGATATTTAAACCAAGTTTCTGTTTATCTTCAGACAAGCTGCAAAATACAGCGCAGGAGAGACAAGCATTAAGAAGAAGATACAACATGAAGTTTTCTTGTGCACTTCATTGTCTTACAAATTTAAGCAATACTGCGAAATTACTTTTTACACTGACTCTTAAATACAATAAACAAAATCATTTTTACCTTTTTATATTAGAGTATGTGAATTGTAAACACTTTTTCTGTGATATCAGCACTATTATCATATCTCAAGAATATAGGTGTTTCCATAACTAAAACAACAGTAAAGTGGAGAATAAAGTTCTCAAACGAAATCACTCCTTACTCCAACTTGTCTATGCAACACTGCAACTGAAAAACCAAAGGTGTTATGTGGAATAGCTGGCTGAGTGAGATTATTATCATGTAAAAACCTACTTGGTGCTGTACTCTTGGAAAACCCCTACATGCACAAGGCAAAGGTGGTCGTCTAGCGAATCTCACCACAAGTACACATCAAAAGATCAAGCAACGCTTTTGTAACCGACTGAGATGTCTGTATTAGCATGGCCCGAGAGATACTATGTTTGAGCTTGAATTTACAATAAACCTGTTATGTTTTTGCATTCTGTTTCATTGACCACACGATACGAATCCCTCTTCACAAAGCTGCTGCATTTTCCACACAAAGTATGGGTGCTGTTCCCACGATTCTCTTCTTCTCAGCAAGCGGGTGGCAGTTCTACACGATAGCAAAGGGCTGCCCAGATGCAGCAGGCTCACTGCCTCCACATCCCTCCTACTTAACTTCCTCTACCTCAACACCCAGGATTGAGTCCCCATTTTAAGTTGAGTGAGTATCTGGAGCTGTATTCAAGTAGCAGAACTCCCAGTGGGGATGCAGGCTACTGCAGACACAAGTTGCAAGTACAAACACAAGACGTAAGCTAATAAAGCTTACTCTAGTATGCCAGGAGTACAGCAATGCTGTAGGGTCTTTTTGTACTTGGAGACCAGGAGGCTCCATATGTGACATAAAAGTAGGTTTTAACTCCTTCTCCAAACAGCTGAGTGTCTTTGCCCTCAAAAACTGGCAGCAGCAGCAGCTCCTCCCTGCAGGAACACTAACAAGCCTTGTAGCCCAGCAGGCATCTGCTCCCTGGACAGCAACACATACTGAACAGCACAGATGCAGACGCAAGAAAGACTTAGGGATTTTTTGATTGACTGGGACCTTGAAGGCTAAAGCAAGCCTTGTCCATAAGCACAGACAGCCCTGGCTTATTCTGGCGCCTAGCAGAAGAATTCTTTCTTCTTAGACCCCATTTTTTCCACATCAAGGAGGACACATTTCAGCAATTTACAGGTCAAGCTGATACAGTCAAATATGTCACCTTCTTACAATGGGAAGATAAGGCCGTACCCCAGAGTTTAGGAGCTAAAGAAAACTACTTTTTCCACATAATAGAGCCAAGGATATCAAACTATATACACCTTTTATGCAAACAAATACTTGATGTTCACTTACATGCATATAAACAGGCACAACTATTGGGCAGCTATAGTAAAGCCTCTCTGAAGGATGACACCAGGATGAATGCAGTTGTGCTCCTCCTCTCAAAGACTCCCTGTTGCAAGGTCTCTCTCAGCCCACGTGCTCTATTTCCATATCCAAAAGGCTGAGGAGTCGGGGGTGGAAATTATCCCAGGGGAGTAGAGAGAACAGTTTATACACTTTTGCCTCCTACCTAGTAAGATCTCCAGTATTCTCCCCTACACAGCACTGCAGACCCCAGGCACCTGCAATTACACACATCATACAGGCACAAACTCATTTAACCTCTCATAGTAAAGACTGACCCAATGTACTGTCACACCCATGGAAGAACATGTGTAGTACGCTGATGAAAGAGCCTGCAACAGCCTCCTACTTTTTTGATGCTAGGCTGGTCCCAACAGAAGCACTGAAAGTCAAGTTCCACATTTTTGTTTCAAAGAGGAAACAAACGTCTGCCTCAGCCCTGCAAATGTGTGAGAAATTTTTTAGTGTTATCGAAGACATGAGTTCAAAGACATAAAAAAAAGAACCCTCTACAGCTTCATTAATTATAAAGCTTCCAGGACCAGGTGATTATTCCAAGGGATGTTTGACACTGCAAAGGCAGAGAACACCCAAGAAACCCTGCAGCCCTAGATAAAAGCATCTCAGAAGTCTGTGCTTGTTATGACATCTCCCTCCAGGATAAACAAGCCTTTTTCCTCCCAATCATATAAAAAAATGCACATTCTTCACTGCAGCCAAGACTCTTAACACCAGGAGAACATCACTGGAACAGACTTCGTTATCTCAGCACTACCAGCTCTCCCATTTCAGTCAGAGCTCTCCTTTGGCAGGCCTTCAGACTGAACAGGTTTTGTAATCCTTACCCCACCAAGAGGTGCAATTACTTAGCACTATGAATTCAGGTCACTCAGTTTTGCAAACATCTTGTTTCTCAGGGAAGGTAAATAAACTATGTGTAGAACAAGCTCTTCTCTCAGGCAAGTACATCTCTGCACTTCCATCTACCCACAAGCTAACTTCCTCACCCATGGAACAAATCTGGTTAGCATACAACCAGATGCTCTGCTGTTTCCATGTTGTCTGTTAGAAAGGCAGGTGAGTAAAAATAAGTAATGCAGAGAAACTGTTCAACTCATCACACCGCCCTGCTCAACCTCTGTTCTCTCCTGTTGTCTGAGCACAGCACCTCCAGAAACAGCAGGCACACAGCAATCCATGGCACTCTGCTTCTGCAAAGAGAGAAGGTGGCACAGACAGGGTACATACACCAGCACAGAGAAGTAATTCAGCAGCTGCCCTGTTGCAAATTTTACTCTTTTGATCACTTTAGATCAAATCTTGACATCATACTCCCTGAATGGAGGTGCTTATTACATGTATTAGAAGTCGACAAATACTGTAGGGTTACAGCTGCTAATTAAACAAATGGATCATCTGCAGTTTCGCTCTTCACTTCTGCCAACATGAAATGCCAAGTATCTCTAAAAGCAAGGAATACGAAAGCAAACATCACTAACGACCCAAAACATCTTCTGAACTTCTGGAAACTCTTCGTGCATGATGCAACTCAGTAACTTATTTAAAAAATCTTCAAGAAATATGGTTTGTAAAGTATCATTTAAAATATGGTATTGCTGTCACCACTGAAGGACAAGGGGAATCCCTAAGAGTTCCAGCATACCACACTCAGTGGACCTATAGTTTCACCCTGCGAGAGAAAGCAAGTTTGATCTATCCTATTTTGCTGTCCAGCTTTTGTCAAAAAACCCCATGACCAGCAACCCCTTACTTGAGATCTGCATAGTTAAGGTAGACATTCCAAAAACACTTGCCTGTGGACAGCTCTGGAGAGGAACCAAGGCCAGTGCTGCAAAACACACAACCAGAGTTTATTTCCAGTTGTGGGCAGCTCAAACCTTCATGACAAAGACTGCACAATGAGAATCCAGACTGGATCTGAAGGTTTTATCCTTCTGGAGTTAGAAGGACTTCATTCAAATGGCTTTGAACTCTGGAATGCAGAACTGCTTGACCAAGTGCAATTCCATTTTCTGGCATGCTGAAGAGGCTGCAGTCTGCAGACAGGCATCACCTTTACTGAACTCATCTGTCTAATCGCATGGCTGGGTTTTGCATGCATATGTTGGTTTTGATTCCTGTTTCTTGACAGCATTAAGACAAGATGAAACTGATGGAAAGGAACAGGAAACTTACAGACATGGACAAGGGGTGTCTCTGTTCCTAGATTTACCCATACAAAAGTTGTAAAGGCTCAGCCAGAGAACTGCAGAGTGCACCTGGAAGATTGAGTCCATAGGAACAGGTTCCGTTCACTCATTAAAAACTTCCTTTCCTTGAAGGACTGAATATATTCCTCTGAACAGGCCACAGATGCATTTTAAGAAAGCATTTCAACTTGACTGGATAGCATCTGAAACTGCCTAGATTCAAAACAGGCTGATACCAGCTTACACAGCAGCTGCAACTACATCTGCCATCCAGATGAATCTCACTTGTTTGCAGGTTTCCTCCCATTCAATTTCATTTCCAGTTCCAGCTACTCTCTTTTATAAGAACTATGTCCATAATAAGAATTCAGGCATTCATTCCGCAGCTATTTTGTAGTACTTCAAGCAATGTGCAAGGCAAGATAAAGACACCAAATACTACACAAACAGTAAAAGGAAGAAGTTGGAAGAACCAGGAAATACTATGAAATTCCACTAAGGGGAAATTAGCTGGAGAAAATATAGGTAGCCTAAAGGAAACACGAATTATATTACATGCTCTTTGAAGAAGATGTTGATTAAAGTTCCTGAGAAAAGGCAAGATAAGCCACAAGAGATTTACTCTGTATATCTGCATGAACAAGAAAAGAGGTGGAGTTTTAATTCTCTTTTATTTCAATGCTTTTAACATGTATAAAATATACTTAAAATACTTTACATTAAAATTAGCAAATAGTTTGCTTCTAAAAAAACACCACTATGTCTTTATGAGTGCACAAACACAACTGATGCACCTTTCTGACCTACAGCAAGCTATCTAAAGCGTTTGTGGGGTAGTATCGTCCATGAGATGAAACGTTAGAAAGGAGTTTCCTTTCCTCAATATCCATCCTGCTGATTCAGCTCAAAGTGAGAGATGCAGCCTCTCACTCTAGCTCCAATGGCACCTAGTTTATAGGTAACCTTCCCAGTCACAGTTTGGAACTATGTAAGCATACAAGCACTCAAATTCAGTAAGAAGCATTATTCCTGGTGTCCAAATTGTCTCACTATCTTTTCACTCTCCTTTTTCAGCTCCTCAACGTGAGCATTTAGGCACTCCAAGATGTGCTGGGATCTCAGTTCTTCCTCTTCCAAGTATCTTGCAGCTATCGATCCAACTGAAGCTGTAGGCAGGGGGTACTAAAAGGGAAACAAAAGGACACCACGCATTCTTTCATTCCAAGTTTCAGCAGAAATACTACTGATCCACTAACCATACCAACAAATATGCCTCTAAAGGGCTCTTGTGTCATTTCTCTTATTAGGCAGACTATGCACCCAGATTTCATGCTTTTATCATAGGTAAATGTCCCTCCCAACAGTCTCCAACCAACAGCAAAAGCCTCCCAATTCCACAAAGGAAGTACAGACCAAACTCCCATGGCAAAGGCAGCTCACTGAACACTTCAGTTCAGCCAGCAATGGTCAATAAACTACCCCAGATTCTTTTCTTTACAGTCAAGAACTATTCCTGCTACTCGCATCACTTAACCACAAGATCTTAACTTACAAAAATAAGACTGTAAACTAGGCTTAATTTATGAGTTGATGAAGAGAAGCTTCCTGCACAGGGCCTGGCAGGTGAATTATAAAGTTACTAAGGGGCTGCTTTCCATTACAGAAATCTTGCCTTAGTGTCTTGGCAAGAGAACAACATAACTGGTTATTTCCAACTGGAGTCTTATGGGTTTTTTTTGATCTTTTATCAACAGCCAAGAACAAAGGAACACAGAAAATAGGCTGTAGATAACAAGCAAATCTCTCCTACCCCACTACTGTCTGCTGACTAGAAATCTCTTTAATAAGTTCCTGGTAATTAGCTCTCTTAATTCTCCTCTCGATGTTAAAGGAACTGATTTAAAGACACTGGAGCCTGATCATGAGCAAGGAATCCCAATCAACACCAAGAGAAATAACCTGCATTTCCTTACAAACCTTATTTCTACCTCTCAGAACAAGAAGTAACACATTCTTTTCTACCAAACATCAAGTCCAAGAGCTCCTCAGGCCCTTAAGTGGAACTGTTTGCCCTTCATTTCTAATCCTGCAACCTGAAGAGTTTCCATTTGGAATATTACAGGTCCCTAAGCTCCCAACATGTGTTTTCTGGACATGCCACCAAGCTAATTTAGTCTTGAAATAATCAAGACCTATTCTTGGTAGTAACCCTCACCAAGATCTACAAATCTGACAAGTCTCCACTTATCTGTGCACCAGCCTTGCTCTTCTCCGATCTCCCCACAAAATTAACTGTTGTCACTGCTAACAACACACAACCAGAGGAGAAAAGACTGCTATAGGAACACATCTGGAGCAAGGTCCAGTACTCGGGATTCTCCCCTCCCTGAACTACTACAGTCCTGTCTCACTCAGAGTATGACAATCACTCTTGCTATCCCTCTTCCATTCCCCTCCCTGCACAGGTCAGCATACAGCCTGGTCATTACAGTGGGTACTAGGATAAATGGTCTTAAACACTAAGGAAGAAGTGATTGAGTCCAAGTTTCCTATATCTTGGGCAGCTGAGCTGAGGTAAAAGAGCAGATAAGGTGCCAACACTGCTCTCTACTTAAAAAGGTATGATTAGTGACTGAGAAAAATAATAGCTTCCCCTTTTGCAGTGAAGCACTGATTTCAAGCTTTCCTGTCAGCCAGCATAAGTGGTTCTAAGTTCAGTGTGCTGACTACTGCAGTCCCATACAGAGGGGTCAAACTCACCCCATGCATTACAGTGAACATAAACGCGCATGCAGCACTAGCTTTCAGATTCACCCAGAAATTCTTATGTTGAAATACTCGGCACTCTGTATCCCCCTCTGAGCCTCTACCAAGCCAAAAGCTGAAGGAGAATTCTGAAGTGGCATAAGCAGGTAATGGTACATGCTGTGCATGATGTACAGCACCAGGACAGAGAACACCATGAGCTTCTGGATTTAGCTTAGCAATTACACCAAACCCAAAGCCCTTCCCCAGAGACTTCTGAAGAATAACCACATGGCTCTCATTGTCCAAGTATTACCCACCCAGCAGTGGTTTCTCCTCCCTATTTAATGTTTGATATATGCTTACAGAATCACTCATATCATGCAGCCAGATTGTACATTCAAAAACCTGGCTCCTTTTGCCAGGCAAGAGCCCAGCTATATCCTCAGCTGTCCAACAGCAACCAGCTCACCTCTGTTGTCTGTACAATGACTTACCAGGGGCACAGATTCTCTCTGATGATTTGAGATGGACTGCTGAGATGCTTCATCTGCAAAATCTTTGTTCCCATCCAGCACATGGAACAAAGAAACCATTCCTGGCAAGATGCCCAAAGAATGTGACTCCATGGAGTTCTTCCTGCTGGTCTGGGTGGGAAGTTCACCCATCTCAGGGGTCACAGTTCTTATTTCATCAGTCCCACACCTCTGGAGCTCCCCTTGATGATGCTGAACAGATCCACCAGGCTGGCGATGTGCTCTCTCTGCTTGTTCGTTATGTTTGTGCTGTGCTTCCTGAGTTGTCCTGGAAGGCAGGTTTGAACACGTAACTGTTTGACAGTTCGCCTCTTAGCAGCTGAACTTTAGCAAACACTTGCACAGAGATAACAATCAACATACAGGTTACTAATAGCCCTAACAATCCACAAACTGGCTGCTGTTTCCATAGCAGTTCCAGATGCTCATTCAGCATCTACAGAGTCATTTCTCATTCTTCTGCTATTGTAGATGCCACAAACTACAGTCTGTACATGCCAGTAATGCAAAAGAATGGAGCACAGCTACCTGGGCCACAAGTAACTCCTTCACCAAATAGGGCACATGCTGCTCTTCAATCAAAGAAAAAGGCAAAGGCAGTCAAAAGATAGTTAAATGCTAGCTAGCTTTGCAGAACACGAACCAGCTGGGACTAAAAGCTACTGCACTACTTAAAGCATAAAGGCAGATTCCAAAACACTCCTTGTGTTCTCCCACACATACTATATGCTGGAGATAGATACTATACATAAAGCATGTCATTAAAACCCCACACATCCCTATGTCTCTGTTCTCCTCCATAATAAGGAAGCAGCATCCTGCGATTAATGCAACACTCACCTGTGCTGCACATCCTTGGCCTCAGACTCTCCCCCTTGCATCTGCTGAGGGGTGCCCTCAGGTTCATCCTGGCATACCTGCCAAGGGAGCTCCAGTTTCCCTCTGGCCTCTGCAAGATCCTTCCGCAACTGCTGGTTCTCAGATTTTAACTTCTTTATTTCAGCAGCATAGTCTTCAGTGAGTGTTCTGACATCTTTTTCCTGATAGACAGAGAAAGGCTGAAGCTGAAACTTCTGATTTGCAAAACACCATAGTCAAATCCAGAGCAAAGGCTGTCAAGCGATTCCTTCAGGCATATTCTCTAATGTCAATTCTGACTGGCAAGATTTTCAAGGGTTTCATAAGAGTAGATCAATTATATATGCCTTGTTGTGTTTGCATCCAGACAAGCTGTGCTGATCTGCCTAGGAAAGGAAGTTTCTCTCACCACTGGATGCTTTTGAACACACGAAAATATAGACTGAGAATAGGTCACAGATACCTCCCTCTGGCCTTGGGATAATGAGAAAGACTACATCACCTCGAGTTCTCCTCCAGCTGTATATTCTCAGATTCCCCACCTAGCTAGAGGTGCAAGCCCCTCAGTCAAAGCTGGGAACACTCAGGTGGCACCCCAATAAACTGTCTCAATCTGAGCAACACTCCAGGTAACAGAGTAGCAGGTTTCTCATAGAGGCTGAAGAAACACATAGCCCAGTGGCTAAATATGCAAGCAAAGATGTTTGCAAGAACGTTTCTAGATCCCTTCACTCAAATTAGCAAAGGCCTATGGCAGTAGTTACAGAAGGCCGTGCATATACCTCTCCACCTGGGATGACCCATATTCCCTTGGAAACTGTCACCAGTTAAAGAGAATTTACTTGTGTTTTCTTTTTGGAACTCTGAACGAATTGCTTTTCCCGGTCTCCTTACCAGTGGATATAATTTCCATTGTTTCTACTCCTGCAACAGTCCTGCTTTCATTTTGCCAATTCTATTCAATTTAGATGCATTATCATCACTGCTGTATCTAAGGACTTTCCAAATGTGCATTAGAAGAACCTGGCCTAGATCTTCTTTTGCACTGTGCTATGAAGTTTTCGGTAAGTCAGGCAGGCAAAAGCTCACTCAGCACTTCAAGCAGAAAGTAATGGGCCTTAGGTCATTCTAGTCTCAAATCAGCCATTCAGAAAGCTTTGGGTTTTTCTCTATCTCACCAGCCACAAGTTTTCATTCAACACTATCCCCAAGAACCTGGCACATTTGGCAATCACCCCAAACTAATACGAAGAGCTGAGTATTTCCCTCCCACAGACTGACAGGATAAAACCTCTGACATTATATTCCCATCAGGTTTTCAGCTGTCTGAATCCAGTCCTTTCCCTCATAAGGCATCCATTTTTGTTTATGTGAGACAGAACTTGCAAACTAGATGTCTCTTGCTTCCTGCAGGCACTAAAATGAATCACCTTCAAGGTATTATTCTGAGAAGACTGAACCTCTTCCATTGGGGCTCCACTTCTCCCCTATGGACAAAGTGACCTCACCTAGCGACAGTGCCTCTTCTCAGTGCACTGTCCCAAAGCATCCAGCCCATATTCCCAGCCTGCAACCTCCCTGTAGAGTGCAAAGGACAGCCCTGTTGAATGGCTCCTCACCAGCAGGGAAACATGCTCTCACCCCAGAAACTGCAAGGACCACAGCAGTTACAGCTCTGAGACAGAGCAAAAGGATATCACAGATTTAGAATCAGGAGTGAAATGGCATAAAATGGAAACGTAACAAAATGTACTAAAAAAAAAAAAAAAAAACACTGACCAGACCCCATGGAGAAGAAACTGAGAAGATGGCTCTGTTTGTGAAGTTTTCCTCACTACTCTCTGACCAAATAAGATGCTCAGTGTTTCTGTGCCTTAATTGCTCAGAAATTTTAAAGTTCACTGAACTGTACCAAGCATTTTGAGAAGCCTGGGCGAAGATTACTGTTCCCTGGTAGGGAAAACACAATACTAGCCCCTTCCCATCTTTGGTGCCCCATGCATACTTCTAGTATACCGCACTCTGCTTTTTTCAGCATCTCTGAGAGATGACGGTTTTCCAGCCTCAAGGTTTCCAGCTGGACCAGAATTACCTGAGGGGACAGAGGCAAACAACAAGCTCACAATAAAGAACACAACACATGCCCGCAACACCCTACAGGCATTTCGCACCCTCAATTCAAGCACAAGTACAAAGCAAGTTTTGGGCTGTTAGTTCTACACAGACCCTATAGAGAAAGCCATGCAAATAACCAGTCATTTACTTTAATTTCCAAAGATGTCATCATGAGACCTAGTAAACATAAGCCATCTCAAAGAATTCCGATGGATTGTCAGTTACTGGCTGGAAAAGACATAACAAGACAGATTCAGTGACCGCCATAAATTTGGAGGTTTCATCAGAAGGGTCTCAAAGTCTTTGTCCAAAGGCTGAAAAGGGAGCTATTAACATAACTAAAAGCTAGGATAGTATTCCAACCTTCATATCCCTTAAAGAGACAGCATAAAAGTCTTTTGCCTTTTTTACCCTGTGTTCCACTGCTTTCCTCTCTGCTCTTTCAATCTCTGTTCTCAGCCGTTGTTCTAGGTCTGATGTGGAGCCACTTGCAGACGCAATTGTGATGTCTCGCTGGTGTAACTCTTGTGTCAGCCTGGAGATTTCCCTTTTCATCCCTTCTAGCTCACTGCTGTGAGTCTGCTCAGCTTGAGAGAGCTGCTCTTTCAGCTGGAGGAAGATATGCACACACCACCCATAACTTTTAAAAGATGTTTCAGCAAAAAAGCAAAAGTATTGCACATGGTTATGTGAAATCTAAGTATTGGAAACAAAAAGCGCTATGTAACAAGCAATCTGTGCAAGCTTGTCCTTCTTGATTGACAACTACCTCATCACAAACCTTTTCCACACTGTAAACTGCCAACTGGGACACCGTATCAGTTACATGCTGTGGAGCACTCAAGAAGACCCATAACTGATCAAATCACAGTCTGTTTAGCTCACCATTTACCCTCCACGGCCAACAACAGATACCCAAAGGTTTACCATCACTGGACAAGCACAGTAACACTTCCATAACATAACTTTGCAATGTGCCATTCTGCCTTCCTGAGGCAGAGATGGTATCTTTAAATAGCTCTAGCCAGACTTTTCTTCCTTGAATTTCTCCTAAGCCTTTTGAATCAATATTAGCTTGTAGCAACTAAAGCTACCATGGCAAACTTCCATAAGCTAGCTATGCACAGGGTAAAAATACACCTCTTTGTTTTTGTAACTCCATTTGATGACCACTGGTCCCTGCATTATGAGAGAATAATCATTCCCTATTTACTTTGCACATGACAGGCATTTTATTTTTAGTATATTCAATCTCATATATCTCTTTTCTAATCTGGTAAATCCTATTCCATTCAGCTGTTCCTTGTATAAAAACATCCCATGCCATCCTTTCGGTCATCTTTTTCCATCTCTGATCTTCTTTTATACAATCTTTTTTGAGATGGCAGACCTGCACTGCATACAATATGCTGGTAAGCACACTGTATATTTATTCAGTGACAGAACAACAACATAGCATAATTTCTTCCCTAGCATTCCATTAGCCAGAAATATTAACTACCCAAAACACCAGGATTTTTCTAAGAATTACAAGCATTTTAGCAAAGTGAACCAGATGATCTCTGCCTAGCCATGTAAATACTATACATATAGTGATTTATCTCCATGTCACCCCAATGCCTCCCAAGCATATAAAACAGAACCATAATAAATCTCCCTTTCCTTCCCAGCAGCCTGTAGGAGACTCATTTATTGTGGGGTTGTTTAAATGTGCAACCAGGCACACATCTCCAACAAGACCTGCACCTCTGTACATTCAGAATAAAGGATTAAAAGACTTTCAGCGAAGTGAAGTTTTTCACTCAGGCCAATGAGGTTTCTACTCTAACCAGGCTCCAGTGAAGTCTCCTATCCTAATTTATCTTGACCATTATTAAAAGTCAAGCTTTTTGGAAGGCTATGACATTTTACAAGGTCCTGTCATGACAGGACAAGGGGAATGGCTTCAAGCTGACAGAGAGAAGATGTAGGTGAGATCTTTGGCAGAAATTCTTCCCTGTGAGGGTGCTGAGGCGCTGGCACAGGTGCCCAGAGAAGCTGTGGCTGCCCCATCCCTGGCAGTGCTCAAGGCCAGGCTGGACAGGGATTGGAGCAACCTGGTCTAGTGGAAGGTGTCCCTGCCCATGGCAGGGGGGTTGGAAATGGATGAGCTTTAAGGTCCCTTCGAATCCAAGCCATTCTGTGAAAACCCATTCACCCCCTCTTCTTCACTCTGTTGGGATCCTGTATTAGGTTCAAACTTGGCATTCCAGGCCTTAATTTCTTTGCATACTTGTCCCTCCAGCACTAATTCAAGTATCTCCACACTGTAGAGAAGTGCTGCATGACACAGAGGCAGGCCTGAGAGATGCTCATGAAGTAAGCCACAAAGCCAAGAACCTCTAAACCTATCCTCTCAAGTCCACCTTTGGCAGACCTCCTCCTTACCCTTCAGCATACCACAGCCTCCATAAGACTCCCAGCCTTTGGTCCCATTTGGAGCTTTGCTAACCATACACTACTGAGACACATGACACACAGAAGAACAGCTGACTCCACAAGTGCTTTTCCCACTCTCCAGGAACAAAGCAGCATTACCTTTTTAATCTCTGCCTTTGACTCAGTATGGTGCTCTTCCATTGACTGCAGCTCTTTGATATTCTCATCCAGCTCTTCGCTCAGCTGTACACACCTTGCATTTGAAGACACCAGGCTGGGTGCCAAATGTAAAACTACAGATTAGAATACCCCAAGGAGGAGGACATGGTCAGAGAAACTTTGATCTTTCAAGCAGCCTCCTATATCCGTCATAACAGAAACTGGACTCTTAACCTAGAACTTCCTACCAATCCTTTGGTTTTGTTTACCAAATCATTTCAAAAGAGATCAGGAAACTGATATAACAGATAATAGCTGTTTCTTGTTTGTTTCTTTACCATACTAAGATTACAAACTTCCCCTGCAAACGTTAGTCTGAAAGCCACAAACTCAGAAAGGAAGACTTGTTTATAATTCTTTTTTCACAGGAAGGTTTAGATCTGGTTCTTACCAGCTGACTAACAAAGACTCCTTAATCTATTAGGAATGAAGGTGCTAAGCCTAAGCAAGCCAGAACATGGAGAACACCCACAGTGTGCAGTGAAAAGCAGCCAACCAATTAGCAAAACAGCCTCACTATTAAACTGCAAAATGAATAGCTTTTGATTTCTTTAGCCTTTTTATATTTAAAATAAGACTATAAAAATCAGCGGGACTGGTTAACTTAATGAATACAATATATTAGCTGTTGTATTATTATCTGAATTTTACTGCACATTCACTGGAAGCAAGCAGTCAACTACCTGCTCTCAAGATGAGTCACCTCTGACTGCAAGTGCTGCTCCTTCTCCTGGGCAATATCCAGCTGCAGTAGTATATGCTCCAGCTCTAGCCCCGGAGAAGACAATTGTTTCTCTTGCAAACGCTCTTCCAAGGCCCTAAGCAGAAACAGGAACTTTAATCTCAGCACAGAAATACTATGTCTGAGTTCACAGGGAATATAATCACTAATTTTTCTGGAATTCTCTGAAAAATATGCAAAACCTAACAGTAGGTGACACCTGTGTGTATCGTGAATATGCAAACATACCTGCCGGATGACAGCCCCCTGTTTAAATTCAGGCTGATTGAAAAAGATTACATCCTTTTGTGATGGCCTCCCTGCCCCAGACAGTCTCCCTGACATTAGCAGACATGCAGCCTGCAAGAAACAGTGTGGCTGTTAGGTAACATAAGCCAAAAGTTTTGACACAGCCATCAGAACAGCATGTTGTCAGCGCAGAAGGCCAAGATGATTCTGTCACACAGGTTGTTACCTTATCAATACCCTAACCTGACAACATTAAATCGCTGAGAACTTTTACTTATGTTAATAAGCACATGACCAAATCTTGACAGGCCTCCAGCACTTGACTAAAAATGCCTGGGGAAAGCAAAAGAAATAAAAATCAAAAGCCCTATGCTGCCTCCAGAAACCTAGCTGAGCAGAAAGCTGATTCCTTGACACTCTTCACTGAGTATCAGTTGATTTCAAAAGCAATGCAATTTGGCAAATGCTGCAAGGAAGCACAGCACTTGTGAGAAACTACAGTATATCATTCTATAGATCAACCAATACAGACCCAGCTGTATGAAAATACTTCTACCATCTTCAGTGGGAGATCCTGAACTATAAATTTGGATCCAAGAGCATGAACACCAGTGAGGCACAGATGCTACCTGATCAGGAGTTCTTTTGTGCAAAGAGTTTCCGTCGCCCTGGCCAGCTCACTCTGTAACTGTTCCTGGTGCAGCTTGGAGCTGTCAATGAAATCTTCTTGAGACTGCAAGGTGGCTCTAAGTTCCATCTTCTCATCCTGTAGCACCTGCATGGGAGGAAGAAGGAATGACTGTTGCAAGATGGACCAGCAAAATCAGTCTGCTGTAATGCACTGAGAGGTTGACCAGATTTTTAAGGAATCCTTGGAAATACTGCAGAGCACAACATGGGTGCAAAGGCAGCTTTGAGGCCAATCAGGAACTTTACAAAAGCTCTAGAAAGAGACAAGAGCTCTGGGATGAAGAGCCTTCCTGCTACTTCTCACAGCATTGCTTTATATTTGATCAAGAAGAGCCTGTGGATGAAGCATTCTATAGACAGATAGGAAAAGCCTCACGCTCACAGGCCCTTGTTCTCATGGGTGACTTCAACTACCCTGACATCTGCTGAACGACGGTACGGCCCGGCACAAGCAATCCAGGAGGTTCCTCGATTGTGTGGAAGACAACTTCCTTCTGCAAGTAAGAGGAGCCGACAAGGAGAGGTGCCATGCTTGACCTCGTGCTCACCAACAGGGAAGGGCTCGTTGGAAATGTGACGCTCCAGGGCTGCCTTGGATGCAGCGATCACGAGATGGTCGAATTCGAGATCCTCAGGACAGTGAGAAGAGTGTGCAGCAAGCTCACTGCCCTGGACGTCAAAAGAGCAGACTTCAGCCTCTTCAGGAACCTGCTTCGGAAGGTTCCATGGGATACAGCTCTAGGGGGCAGGGGGGCCCAAGACTCTTGGTTGATATTCCAGGATCACCTAATACAAGCTCAGGAGTGTTGCATCCCAACCAGAAGGAAGTGCAGCAGGAGGGCCAGGAGACCTCCTTGGATGTATAAGGAGCTGCTGAGGAAAATTCAAATGAAAAAAGGAGGCTTATAAAAGGTGGAAGCAAGGACAGGCATCCTGGGAAGAGTACAGGGATGTCGTCCAGGAAACTAGGGACCAGGTCAGGAAAGATAAGGCCCAGTTAGAATTAAACTTGGCTAGGGATGTTAAGGCTAACAGGAAGGGATTCTACAGGTACATAGCAACTAAAAAACAGACTAGGGACAACATAGGCCCCCTCTGGAAGCTCTCGGGAGAACTGGCTACACAGGATTTGGAGAAGGCTGAGGTTCTGAATGACTTCTTTGCCTCGGTCTTCACTGGCAAAGGCTCTGACCAAACCACCCGAGTCTTGGAAAGCAGATGCAGGGACTGTGAGAATGAAGACCGTGGGCCCACTGTAGGAGAGGATCTGGTTCGAGACCATCTTAAAAATCTGAATGTGCACAAGTCCATGGGTCCTGATGAGATCCATCTGCGGGTCCTGAAGGAGCTGGAGAATGAAGTTACAAAGCCGCTGGCCATCATATTTGAGAAATCATGGCAGTCAGGTGAAGTTCCCAATGACTGGAAAAAGGGAAATATAACCCCCATTTTCAAGAAGGGGAAAATGGATGACCCAGGGAATTACAGAGCAGTCAGTCTCACCTCTGTGCCTGGCAAAATCTTGGAGCAGATTCTCCCGGAAGGCATGCTAAGGCACATGAAAATCAACAAGGTGCTTGGTGACAGCCAGCATGGCTTCACTAAGGGGAAATCCTGCCTGACCAATTTGGTGGCCTTCTATGATGGGGCTACAGAACTGATGGACAGGGGTAGAACAGTTGATGTCATCTACCTGGACTTGTGAAAAGTGTTCGACACTGTCCCACATGACATCCTTGTCTCTAAATTGGAGAGACATCAATTTGATGGATGGACCACTCAGTGGATAAAGAAGTTGTGGTGAATGGCTCAATGTCCGGCTGGAGACCAGTAACGAGTGGTGTCCCTCAGGGATCGGTGTTGGGACCGCTCTTGTTCAAAATCTTTGTCATTGACATGGACAGTGGGATTGAGTGTGCCCTCACCACGTTTGCCGATGACACCAAGCTGTGTGGTTCGGTTGATACGCTGGAGGGAAGGAATGCCATCCAGAAGGACCTCGACACGATTGTGAGGTGGGCTGATGGCAACCTCATGAGGTTTAACCATGTCAAGTGCAAGGTCCTACACCTGGGTCGGAGCAATCCCAGGCACAGCTACAGGTTGGGCAGAGAAGAGATTCAGAGCAGCCCTGCGGAGAAGGACTTGGGGGTGTTGGTTGATGAGAAAATGAACATGGGCTGGCAGCGTGCACTTGCAGCCCAGAAAGACAACCAAATCCTGGGCTGCATCAAAAGGAGTGTGACCAGCAGGTCAAAGGAGGTGATCCTGCCCCTCTACTCTGCTCTTGTGAGACCTCACCTGGAGTATTGTGTGCAGTTCTGGTGTCCTCAACATAAAAAGGACATGGAACTGTTGGAACAAGTCCAGAGAAGGGCCACGAGGATGATCAGGGGACTGGAGCACCTCCCGTATGAAGATAGGCTGAGAGAGTTGGGGCTGTTCAGCCTGGAGAAGAGAAGGCTGCGTGGAGACCTCACAGCAGCCTTCCAGTATCTGAAGGGGGCCTATAGGGACGCTGGGGACGGACTCTTCATTAGGGACAGTAGTGACAGGACAAGGGGTAACGGGTTCAAACTTAAACAGGGGAAGTTTAGATTGGATATAAGGAGGAAATTCTTTCCTGTTAGGGTGGTGAGGCACTGGAATGGGTTGCCCAGGGAGGTTGTGAATGCTCCATCTCTGACAGCGTTCAAGGCCAGACTGGACAAAGCCTTGGGTGAGATGGTTTAGTGTGAGGTGTCCCTGCCCATGGCAGGGGGGCTGGAACTAGACGATCTTAAGATCCTTTCCAACCCTAACTATTCTATGATTCTATGATTCTATATTCCATTTCCTAACAGCTCCTCCACTGACCTCCAACATTTTCTTGGATTGCCTTAACTCTTCTTGAACTCGTTGCTGATCTTCCAGAATCATCCGATTGTTTTTGGTCAGGTCATCCACCCTCATATTCAGCCTCTCCACCTCCAGCTCATTGGCACAGATAGCATCATTTGCCCTCTCCAGCTTGCTGGTTAAATGCTGGATTTCCGATCGGCTGGCCAGCTCCACAGACTCCAGAATCTGCTTCCGATTGGCAAGCTGAGTCTGCAGAGAGCAATTGGTTTGCGTTAAAGCTGAACTACAGAAAACACTGCATATCAAAACTACATTCAAAACAACTACCCATTTCTTTGTGTAACACTACCTTGCAGGGAATTAGGGGAGTTACAATGGGTAAAACTTCTGAGGGCAAACAGAATTCATTCAAAGAAAAAAAGGAAGAGGGAAAGGAGGAATCTCCAATTCCAAAAGGGGTGAAAGAGAATTTGGGTAGAGAGGATGTCAAATCACTCAAGTTCTCTGAGTATGAGCTATCTCAGAACAAATCTAACTACTACTTTTTTGCTCCTTAACCTAAGGCTAGACCAGGACAAAGGGCAGTATGTAAGAAGGTTTGTAAATACCATACACAAGTAGAGATTGTTAACAGATTGTTAATTCCACACCAGGATAAAAAGCAGCTCTTGGTGCACAGGGGAAAAAACAAACCCACAACCATCACATAGACCCAAAAACCAAACTGCCTGTAACAGTCAATTATCTTTTGCTTTATGCAGTAAATATCTGGTTCTAACAGCTTGCGAGAATGCTCACTTTGAATGTGTCATTGTTTTAATGGCAGACAAAAAAAGTTACAAGGAACATATGACTAGCAAACAATACATGCTCTATTATTTATAGGCACAATATTTCATAGCATTTCTTTCCATGTAGCTAGCTGGTGAAATTTAATAAGCTAGCTCTCATATAAAGCTTCCAAGAATATTCATTTCATATACTCCCTTTCTGTATAGTACCTTATAATTTTTAAAGGCTGAAACAAAATATTTGAGCACTCTTTTACTCCCAATTTTTAAGAGTACCAATTCCTTCCAGCTTCAGAATCACCAGATGCCTTGATTTATTGCCTGACACGTAATGCCTCGTAACTGAGAAAACTATAGGAACTGTGCATTTGGAAGACTATCATACAATTTTGATTACAGCCTTTTCATTATTTGAATAGTCATGACAGAAAATGTAACCAGGAGGGGCAAGAGTTTAAAGCACAGCCTTTCTCCACCCAAGAAAAAGGAGTACTAGACTACCTGAATATTTATTTCTGCATTAAGAAAATATTTAAGCTATCTCTTATTTCCAACCACAGAATATGCAGGATAGCCCAGAATTCCAAGTTTCCCATGTTGGCTTTCGAACCTGCAGGTGCTACAGCAGTAAGAATGCCAGGCTTCCCAAAGCTGAATTGAAAGATATGAGGGGAAGCCAGCTGAAAGTAAAGAAAGGGGAAGTACTCCATGGTCACAGATCTCAGCTTGACCTTGTGCCAGAAAAAAAAAAATCAAGCATACAAAACGCACAGAAACATCCAAGGCAAAAATTTAGCACTTTCATGTTTGTCTTTTCAAAGAAATTGAGGATTCAGGCAGTCTGCTCACAGTACCTCTGCACCAAAGTCATCTGCACCACTCAGGAAAATCTCCCCAAATCCCTCTTTTTCTGCTGCACAGTAAGAAGAGTTCCTCTGCACTCCAGTTACCAGCCTGCACTCCAAGGACACATCTGTTCTCAAACAATTGAGCTATCAATGATACAAAGACAGCAGAGCAGCAAGACCTTCCGCTTAAGGACTCTCTGCATTTGTAGATCTACCAGTGTCAGCCTCTCACAAAGCCGCTGTCAGAGTCAGCTTCAATCCTGTCATCACAAACTTCCTCCTTGCAGGAGCTCCCACTCAAGAGCAACTCAGGAGCCCATTAAGTGTAAAGCCCCCAGCAAGAGCTTCTTATCAGTGTCTGCTGTGATTGTGTCAGTGTGACTTCACAGCTGTGCTCTAGGTCAATTCATCTTGCTCTGCTTCAGCAATACTAACTCACTGAATGATTAGCTTTTCAGGAACTGCAGTCCCACTACTTCTTGTTTTTAAGAGACATAGAAAAAGAAACATAAAAGAGACATAAGAAAGAGAAAGGGGGGCTGGAGGGAGGGGCTGAAAACTGCTATTACTGCAGTACTTTGCAGAAGTAAGTGCCTGTTGTAGGGGAGGACTATCTTCCAACATCATCCTCTGAGCTGGACCCACAAGGTACATACTTAGCAACTGGCAGGTGCACAGCTTTGAACTAGGTGACATGATGTAACAACTATTTTAAAGTGTCACGTGCTGTGGTCTCTGCCTCCAAGTGAAAGCTTCACCCTACTATCTTCTCTACTAATTGGAGGGATGGTAGGGAGAACTGCAGAAGGTTGATCCAATCTCTGTTGACAGACTCCAGATCTTTTTTTCCACACAGCACTTATACAAGTAAACCTTATTCCACCAGGACATTAAAAGTCATTTCAATAGCAACTTAAACTGGATTCAAGCCTGAGAGTTTTCATTAGACTCTCCACCTTCCCCCCTCCCTTCTGCTGCCACAAACAAAACAAAAACTTTCAGCAGATATTAACTGTACCTGAATGAGCTCAGACTGCTCAGCCAAAGCCTTCCTCTGTGCTTCCAGTGATGCCACCTGCTGCTGGTAAAGCAAGCGCTGTTTCTCCCAGTCAAGTGATTTTTGCCGAAACTCCTGCAAGGACAGCAGGGGTGGGTTGGAGCAGTATGTCCATGCAGTTGACAAGAAGACCCCCTTCTAGTTCATATCTGCGTTTGCTTTCCCTCTCCACCATATCCTCATGCACCTTTCCCCACAGCAGGGAAACCATTAGCTAGTCATTTGATGCAACAACTCAGCAGTACAAAACCCCCCTCATACTGTGCTTGCTGTATTTCTTCCCCCCCCCGAGTTAAAGCATCAGTGTCAGTTATTGCTGTTTACAAATGTTAAGTGCTAAAAGATTCATGGCTAATTTCATGGATTTGCTGTCAGAGGTTTAACAACTGGCTTTAGCTTCCAAAACATGCTGCTACTGAAATCACCAAGATGACAAGTATGAATTACAGAATTTTAATGCTAATCTCTGCTCCAGAAATTGGACACTACATCAGTGCGTTTGTGTGTTTGACACTACAGTCAGATGTGTTTGTTGGCCACATCTTCAGGGCACAGTAGAAGAAAATTGAGTGCGGTTGAGCTCCGTGTAGCAGGAAGATTAAAAGATGAGACAGAGTTGAGAAGTGTGACACATAGCTCCCTCCTCCTCAAAGAAGTGAGATGACAACCTCACCACACTGGAATTCATTCCATTCACATAATTAATTACTCTTCCAGCACCTTCTTCCTTTTATTTAGTCTAAAAACAGCAGCACAGTCTATCCTGTGTTCTGAGTGCAGTGCAGGAAATCACCTTTATTACACAACCAGTTGAGAAGAGCTACACCTTGAGTAGAGAGGGAGTACTTCTTAAGCAGGATTAACAGTCCTCTTCCTAGGTGACTATTGAGTCACCATTGAAGCCCAGTCAGTTAACGCATACAAACTCCGGTTAGCACTTGCTTTTTCACTACATACCTCCAGCTTCCTGGTCAGTCGGCTTATTTCAAAATGGTCCTCCCCTTGTCCCTTGCTAGCTTCTCCTCTAGCTTCTCTTAGCTGTTTCTTCTGCAGCTTCTCATAGCTCCTCCTCAGCCTAGACAACTGCAAAGTGAAAGAGCCAACTTTGTTTGAGGCCTCAAGGCAAGAATTAAACAGCAATTTAAAGGAAGGCACACAAAATGGCTTCACACAAGCAATTCCCCTAATCAAGGCCACACAGCTTGCAAGTGAAGACTTCTAGATGTATAATGAGCCTATTATACCAACAGAACTGAAAAATACGCCAATTTGTATCAGGGTAGCAAGATGCCATTGAAGTCATGATATCAGCAGCTCTAGTTAGACCTCTGTCTTAGCACTATTAAAACACGACTGTAATATTGATAAGATGGAGGTTTACATGTAACTGTTACTGCAGCAAGAGCATGGTACCCCTCTCTCTGGCTCCCAGCCACAGTAATTGCAGGTAGTACCTGTGATTGCTCTCTTCATACAGAGGAGCATGTCACACCACACATGGGGTGGGGGGTAGTTCTACCCAGAGATACAGTTTCTTATGTGATTAAAACACACTTGTGAAGCTCAGGTGGGAAACGGAACTCTTCTGCTCAGTGGGAGAAGGAAGATTTGAGAATTGCCATTATACATAATATTAACACTACTTCATGTGTTATTTTCTACTTAGATACACTATGTATTTCACAATGAGTGCAGAATGCCAACAGAAAATATCACACCTATGCCTACTGCTAGAATGCCAAAGTCATATCAGAAGCAGGAATGAGAAGAAAACTCTTGACATTTAAATGACCTGCTGTGCAAATAAGCACTTGCAACTTGTATGGAATTTTCCATCTGATAAGCTCTCCCAAATCAACTATAAAATAAAAAGTTTCCATATAGCCACATGGATTTGAGAAGTCACCATTCCAATTTTACTTGATGGAGAAAGCTTAGTCCACGGATGACAAGAAGGACCATGAGAAGAAAAAGCATCTCAATCAAGACCTCATGAACTGGTCACAAAAGGTTCTCCAGTGCCCTGAGTCAGCAAACTACTTAAGCATGTTCCATGGGAATGGACAGACATACAGGCTTAGAGTTAATATACCAACATCTTTTGCTAAACACAACAGATTACAGAGATGGTTGAAAGAATAAACCTGTGAGTTGGACACTGTACCTGTAATTTTACAGTTAATGGTGGTAAACCGAGACCACAAGAATTTTCCCCAACAGTACTAAGAATAGAAGACTGAGGAATATTGGAGCTTAATGTCTTCCACATTAGTACTGTGTGGGTAATACAACAACACATTGCAATTCTGACCACAACACACACACTGTATTTTAGCCTTAGCAATTCAGGCAGACCTGCCAATGCAACTCAGCTTTGCTTTGCAGCTTATTCACAATACCAGTGGGAATGCCTAGTGAATGAAGGCTGTTAGTCATACTGAATAGTAAGGTGTTTTAAATAAGGACAGATGGCTTCTGTCATCAAAGCTGAGACTACCAAATTAGTTTAACTTATGCCTTATAGTGAGCATGAACTAGGCACAACCTTCCAGAGAAAACAGGTCAGTGCTCTACTAGCTGCTCATGCCATTTAACTCCCTGCTACTGACAAGCAAATGGAGGCAGGCAAAGAGTTAAGGCATAAACATGGAATGCTGTTATACCACCTGCAGGACATTCCTCATGCACCACCATGGAGTGAATAAGAAGCTTTTTGAGATGAAAGCTATTAAAAAATATTTTCTAGTTATACTTAGTTTTTATTAAGTGTATTAAGATTAATATGCCTTGAGAGAACAAAATCTTTACCAACAAAATCAGAGTCAATGGAGGCAAAAAGAAGACAAGCTACGTTCCATTCTTATTTCTTGATCTCATATGATCCAGACCAGCTACACCACCACCCCTTTTTAATGTCATAAAATGCTGAACGAGCAAAATGCTGCTTCCTGTACCCATGGCAACTTCAGAATAAGCACAATGGTGACTAGGGTGGATGAACACAGGACATTTTTGCAGTAAACTTCTGCAGATGTCTAACAGATGAAAACTCCAACACCACATCTGCTACACATCTCTACTCCAAGAGCTTTCTGTTTGCCACCAAGTTCCTCCAAAGCACAAAAAATGGGTCTAATGAAGCATAAAAATATTACTTTGCCTGTATTCAATGCTCTTTTTTTCTTTTTCTAAGAACATAAAAATTAAGAGTGGGAAGTTTTAAAACCATGGCATTAAATAAAAGTAATACCACAAAGTGTATCACCCATTACATTTTATATCAACTGGGAACTAAAACCCAGTCTTTTCTTTTTGCAACTCACCTCCTCCTGAAATTTCTTCAGCTGTTGTTCATATTCTCTAGCCATGTCCAGTTTGGCCTTTTCCATGTCTTCTACCTGGTGACGCAACATGTCAACCTGAATAAAGAGTTAAAAAGCGAATAAATACAATACAACTGGACCTTATTGTCAGTAGGTACTAGGATCAGTTTTGATTTCATAAATATAAATTACAGTAGGAGTGGGGACTATTAAAGGATCCTAATTCTGTTAGCAATTGCACCTTTCAGTGGGGTCACTCACTATGAATCAGATTAAGTCTATGCCTAAATCTTTGGTAGGCTACAGGCAGAACTGTTTGTGTTCTGGCCTCGTTTTGAGCTAGTTTCTGGCTTTCATTTTTTGAGGATGAAACCTACAGTTTTGGCTTGCATCAAAAAGCTATTGCTATCTGGTATTTTCATCAAATTCCTTACAAGCATGAATTATGATTTCAAGCTATCTATCAAGAGAAAGGATGGCCATGTCATTACCTTAAAAAGCTCAGGTGAAGCAAAGATTCGACATAACACATGGCAATGAGAGGAACAAAGTAAAAATAGGGCTCTGAAACTCATGGGGAAGATTTCTCTTCCATTGATTCAAGTGCTCCTGTGACTCTTGTCTTCCTTCTTTCCCCCCCCCCACCTGTTTCCCATCCCCAACTATGAGTGGGCACCTTTCTAACTGCAGGTCCAAAGGACAGCAAGCGAGCAAACACAGAAAATTCATGAGTGTATTCAGAAGTGTGAATATACTCCAGCAGTGACTTTACCCATAGTCTACAGTTCAGTTTTTAAATCAATGTTTGCCTGTGGTGGTAAGAAATATTTCAACAGTGTCTTGAGAAAACACAATTGATAATAACAACGATAACCTACATGATAAAAAACACCGTTCTTGCAAGTGTCCTGTGGCATGACTGCAGATTTAATAACTCTGTAGCAAAGACATTCATCCCAAAACTTACTGTGCAGACCAGTAGTAGCACCTGACCCTATCAACAAGAAACTATAGCTTTCTTAACCCACTGCTGCTACAACCTATCACACTACCAAAAGCTACACAGCAGTACTTGAGTAATTTTGAGGATGTAACATAGATGCACAGGCACCAAGAAAACCCAACTACTTGTGCAGTTATCAGCTGGCTTTCAACCCAAGAAGTCAAAGCAACTTCACAGAGTTGCCAAAAACACAGTTTGTAGTACAGAGTCTGCCAAAATAAATGACACAGCAGCTATAAATAGAAGGACAAATTTTAAGTGCTTTCAGAAAATGTCAATGTGGCTAGATCTTAAGATACAGCCACCCAGACTCCTGCTGATTTCCTCTGATCCAAGAAAAGATACATCACTTCATTTGCACAAGTGCAAGTTTATGGTCCTCATCCTGTGCAAAATCGTCACTTACTGGTACTTCTCCGTCAATACAGAAATTTTTGCAGTTGCCCTAGGCCTTTAAAGGCTACAAAATCTTGGGCTGCAAAAAATAGCCCTTGGAGAATCAACCAGCAATATCTTGCTGTAGTTCACACCACCAAATGACTGCAGGTTGCTGGGCTGTCCATTACTGCTATAGCCAGATTCTGGGTTCTCTCCAGAAACTCTGACAATTCAATCTGTGGGTTTCCACCAACCCTTAGGGAGTTGATCACTTGACTTTGATTGAATTATGAATCAGACACCTTGCTCCTACAGGCTCCTTTGTAAATGCTGTTCCTGATTTCCAACTATGAGACAGGCTCCTGTTTCACTTAGCACAGCTATTTGCCAAAGTGAAATTTAAATATTAAAGAAAAAAAAAACAAACCTCACAACCAAAAATACGACCCCAAACTAACGAAACAATCCCAAAACACATGCCCATTCAAAGGCAAACTCTTAAAATCCGGGTTCAGTCATTATATTGCAGTACAGTATGTAAAACACACAGGCTGATACCAATCAGAACAGTATGGACCTAAGGTACCTCCTTATACTTTTCCTGCAGAGCCACCCTGGCAGAGGAAAGTTCCTGCTCCCGAACACTCAGGCAAGCTTCCAAAGCCTGTGTCTGTCCTTCCCATTCAGTTTTCTTGTGAGCCACCATAATGTCAATCTGCTTCATCAGCTCTTGCAGCTCAGCCTCACAGGAAGTCAAGAACCCACCACTGGAAAAGAAGAGGTTGAAGTCACAAAGCAGGCACCAACCAACACAGGCCCAGTGTCCCATCCCAACAAAGTCAGCAGAATAAACTGACTTGCACCAAGGGACCAACTCTGCATTTGCAGTGTTCTGACCTCTATGAAATTAGCCGGCAGAGAAATACATTTAATACTTGCTTTAATCCCATTCTCCAATGCAGCATCTCACACGTTATGTTCATATCTCTGGGCAGAGATCTAAATTTGATAATGGCCAACAAAGAATACTTGTGAAATCCCAGCAAGAACAAATGACCTACACACTTTAAATGTAGGGGGTTTGTCTTCTACACAGAGAACATTACAAGCACCTATAAACACTCCTCTCTGTCTCAGTACTATGCATTATCTAAGTAAACTGGAGCATGCTTTATCCATTTTTTATTTGCCTTAATTGCTCTCCAGGCAGAGGCGTTTTATACCAAGTTTCAGTCAACACAGAATTCTTAGAGCCAACCTATCAGCTCCTGAAAACAGAAGCTTATCACAAATGCAGACAAAGCCCTGAGTAGAGGCGGCTGGATGACAACACGATAATGAAGAATAAACCATTTGCAATCCATTGGGAGAGTATGCTCCCTAGCTACCCTGCACTTTCTAATTTGGTACAGTAATTATTGAAGCTAATTCAACTAACTCCTCTAAAACTTCACCAGCTGCTAAGCCAGGGCCAATATTAAGGCTGCAATGTACAGCCCTAGAGGCCGGTGAACTCCATGATGATCTGTACCCCTTTAATTTGCCTGTCAAACAGGAAGCACTGAAAAGAAATGGAAATCAATAGGTTAAGGAATTGAAATTTCTCTGTTCTCCCAGAGCATATGCACACTTCACAAGTTAGCAGTTTTTTGGGAAAGAAATATCTCTTAAAGGAGCTAAAATCAGTTAAAGTTCACTCTGTCCCGTGAGTTAACCAAAAATTAGCAGCTATTATGCAGAGCAGTATTTCCTTCACAGCATCTGCTAACATAAAGTTAAGTCTAAACTTGATTTCTGCAAACAGCTCTCTACCAGTAAACTTGTCACGTTCTCAAAGATGACTATGAAAATAGCATCAGTGACATTTGCTTAACACACCAAACATTTTATTTCCATTACTGGCACTACAGTCACTCTCAGAGATCCAAAAGTCTAAGACAGAACATTAAGGATTCTTCAGAGATGAATGGGACTCTGCAATTTCAACACAAGCAGGAAATAATCAGATGTTTTCAATAAAAAAAGGTAACAGTCATGTCCCATTAACCTTGCAAGGCTGTTTTATTCACACTTTTGATTACTACTGCTCCTGCCGTTGGATGGTAAGAAGAGTTCACAGCAAGAAAAACAAAAAAAGGGAGGTAGGGTTTTCAGGAAGATGTAAAACTAAATTAAGACTATAATAACTAACAAGGGATTATTGCAAAGCCAGCTAACTCAGTGACTTTGCTTCTGCACCAGCTGAAGGCCACTGCACCAGTGTTTATCCACCATCATGCGCTAGTGGACAAATTCCAAAGCCCTTACTTAAGCAATGGAAGTCTTGTCTGATACCACAGGATTTGATTCCAAATAAGAAGGAATGTTAATACTTCAATGATACTGTCACATACATACCTCCCCTGCCCATTTCTTTGCATTCCTTCCAGCAAAGCCTCCATCACTAAATCCTGGTGACTTTAGCAGCTAGGAACATACACAACTGCAGTGGTCACCCATCGCAGTGTAGGAAACAAGGCTACTTCTCCATCCTGCTGCAGAACAAGCAGAAGCCCACAGATAAGTTTGAAAAATTACAGTTAGCACACAATTTCAGGTGAGGAAAAGAATGGTCATCTTCATGAACCTGCAAGCCAAGTTATCTGCCAAACAAAGGAAACCAGATTTTTCTAGCAAACCCAGCATTATCAAACTGCAGTAATAGAACTGTGTGATCTAATAAATGGAATAACTCAGCAGCAGTGAAAGAGAAGCTGCACTTCAGCAAATGGGCAAATTCAATCCCCTGGGACTGACAGATCTCCTGACTCCTATATGCACTTGGGAACTTCCAAATGGGCCAGCCCAAGACCTACCACTGACAGGGACATTCGTCAGTCAAGGGAAAAACCATAAGTGGCAGTAAGGATATATCCATAAATTAGATCTCTCCTGGGTCTCTTTTGACAGACTAGGCTAAAGAGACTCCCTATAGTGATGAGTTCTGAATGCAAGCTCATGATCACATTCAGAATGCATCACTAGTTCATATGGTTGTGAGGATTTTCTTTTAAGATAGCACTAACCCTTTAAAAATTCATGTGGTGCCCTAAGATATGAAAATAAGTTGCAGAGGTTTTCAGTAGCAGTACATTGTCTTAGTCAAAAATGACATTCTTTACGTCACAAACATGTATGCAGGCACACAGAAGTTTCATGTATTTGTGAAGCAAGAAAGGTTTACGTTGAAGGCAAAAATGGGGAACAAAAGAGTTACGATTTATTTCAGTGGCTCCTACATGAAACTGTGGCTCTAACAGAAAAAATGGTTATACTTTTGTACCTGAGGGTACAAAACTACACTTCAGTTTCAGTCTGTGGAGGTATTCACACAATCTTGTTTTCAAAACATCTGTGCACTTTCTCAAGTATTTAGAGATGGAACCTCACAGCATCTTTCCTCAAAGATCAATATGGCATTATTAAGCAATCAACAAAAGGGGCAGCAGGTCACAGAAACTGAGACCTTCGGAAGCACAGACTCAGTTTTGCTTCCTTTCACTTCCATCAGAGCTTCTATCCTGCTCCCACAGCTTTTTAAACCCATTCAGAGAATCAAGCCTGTCTCCTGCTAGGAATTCAGCTGTATTTAAACCACATACAGAAAATACATACTTCACTGAGGAAAAAAAAAATAACCCCTATCCCTACACTGATAGCGTTTTGTCTCTCTTTGGTCCTGCCTGCACTTAAGAAAACTTTAATCCATATGCAGAACATGTTTGCTGTACTGCTGATGGCAAGAGCTGCTGAGGAGAGGAGATGAGCAAATCCCCTGAGCTGCTGACAGCTGTCCAAGAGAGCTCTCCAGGTGCCAAGAGCAGACATTAGCCAGTTGCTGTTTCATTCTAAGCACCCCTACTTAGAATCAGTTTTCAGTGGGTAGCAGAGAGATTTCACTGTCCACTACAGAGATGTTCTGCTAAAATTCAGAAAGGAAATCCAGAGAGAAATCCAGGTCCTTTACCAGCAGCTCCTTCCACGAGAAGCTAGGATCAGTTCAACACTGAAAGCTTTAATGCTACAAGGAGCCAGACGGCATCCCCTTTTGCTTCTGCTAGGCTTTAAGCAGGGTCCCCAAGGTAAGACACCTGAATCTGCCAGCCCTGCATACTTGCCAGCCCATCTGGGTTTGGGAGAAGAGCCTCAAAATCTGACACCTCTGAACAGTTATGCTACGCAGAATCATGGAATGGTTTGGGTTGGAAAGGGCCTTAAGGCTCATCCAGTTCCAACCCCTGCCATGGGCAGGGACACCTTCCACTAGACCAGGTTGTTCCAAGCCCCATCCAACCTGGCCTTGAACACTGCCAGGGATGGGCAGCCACAGTAAAAACCCCCTCTCCAGATTTCTTGTGAGCCCCTTTATGTACTGGCAGCTGCTCTAAGGTCTCACCAGAGCCTTCTCTTCTCCAGGCTGAACCAGCCCAGCTCTCTCAGCCTGTCTCAGAGCAGAGCTGCTCCAGCCCTCGCAGTATTTCTGTGGCCTCCTCTGGACTCTCTCCAACAGCTCCACATCCCCCTTGTGTTGTTGCCTCAGAGCTGGATTCAGGCCTGCATGGGGGGGTCTCACCAGAGCACAGCAGAGGCAAAGAATCCCCTCCCTCGACCTGCTGGTCACACTGCTGGGGATGCAGCATAGAACATGGGAGGTTTGTGGGCTTAAGCACACACTGCTGGGTCATGGAGTGCTTCTTGTCAGTGAACACCCCCAAGTCCTCCTCTAGGCTGTTCTCTATCCACTCATCAGGTTTAAGTCGCTATTATATCCTGACCTCCCAAGCTTGCAAGTCACTATGTGCACGTTACAGGCAACTGAGTGAAGACCCCACACGGACACCAGAGGACGAAACAATCTGCCATCAACTACAGGTGAAGCAAGAAGAGCTGGCCCGTTACTTCTGAAATTGACATAAAAGTATTTGAAAAACAAACCAACCCAAAACAAACAAACAAAGCAAAACAAAAAACGTTTAAAACCCAACAATTCACGAACGCATCACATCCACTGAGTCGAGCGCACTCCGGCCCGCAGGCCCCCGCTCCCCAGGGAGAATCCCCCGCCCGTCCCGCGGGGCCGACCTGCGCTCCGGGCTCCCCGGGAGGCCCCGGCCTCTGATCAGCGATGGGGCCTCGCCGCGAGGGGCCACGGTCCAGCGGCGGCCCCTACCGACTGTGTCCGCGGCCCGCCCGCCATCGGGCCGGCACGGCGCCTCCCCGCCACCAGCGCCCGCCCCCCCTCCCTCCCAGCACCGCTGACCTACCGGCGCAGCCAAGCCGCGGCCTCGGCGGCTGGAGGCCGCTACGCCTGCGCAGGGTCCGCGCCTGCGCACTGCCGCGCCGCCGAGCCGGAATGGGCAGGGTATGGGGGAATGGGCCGCGGTGGTCGGGGAGCGGTGGGGCTGGAGGGGCGGTGGGGAACAGAGAGGTCTCCCCCGGGAGCGGGGCGGGGGGGGCCGGGGCCTTATCGCACTGCACCGGTCGTCTGTGCTCCCTTCGGGGCCGCCTCGCTGATTGTAGAGGCGAGGCCTGTGCAACATACAGCTCTGGAGCCAGGCATGGCCGCGGGGCTCCTGCACCCCCCGAGACACCCGGGTTCGGTACCCTCCAGCCCTGGCTGTTGCCCCGAGTGCCTGCGGGGACGTGTTAAAGAGGACAGAGTAGTAACAAAATGATGACAGGAAACCCCTGGAGTGATAACAGTGGCTGAGGGGGAAGGCAGGTCTCTCTTGCCCACAGAAGCTGTGGCTGCCCCATCCCTGGCAGTGTTCAAGGCCAGGCTGGACGGGGCTTGGAGCCGCCTGGTCCAGTGGAAGGTGTCTCTGCCTGTGGCAGGGGGTGGGAACTGAATGAGCTTTGAGGTCAAATTCCAACCTAAACCGTTCTTAATTCTCTGATTTTTCTCGTTTCACCAATTTCCTGGCTGTACGGGTTTGTCAGTATTTTGGGTGCCTTTGTTCTGACTTTCCCAGACTCACAAAGGTGTGGATGAGTTACAGCACTGAGCAGGGACAGAAAGTGAGCAGGCACCAAACACAAGCAACAGTTCTGTGCAGAGTAAGAGGGGACAGGGAAGCTCTAGGTCCTTAAGCTTACCCAAAAGAGATTTCTGAGGGTCGGCAACTATAAACATATGTAAATCTATAATTAATAATAAGAGGCTAGTTTTCGATATGCATTAGAGATGAATGTATGTATCTGCAGTTCAGTTTGATAGTGTGCTTTCCAGGTGTAGTTCTCCTGTGTTATAACCACATAGCCCTTTTTCAGTGGATTAGGAAAATCAAGGTTTTCCATAAAAGCTTAATAGAAATTGGATCAGAACTGGAGCAAGCCTGTACTCCAACTACTTGGTTAGAGATGTGGTTGTTAGCAGTACTGCCTGCTTTGTGTCACAGATTTAGCTGTCCTCACCTTCTACAACGATGGACAGTGAAGTGCTAAGGGATGGCAGAATCCTGGATTTGATCGACGATGCATGGAGGGAAGATAAATTACCGTACGAGGATGTAGCTATCCCTGTGGTAGGTGAACTGCTCTTATCAATCACAGTTAAGGCTGATGTGTTTATCACAGCCACTTCCAAGAAACAGCACAAAGAGTATTGCTCGTGGTACAGCTTATGTGTGCAAAAGATTCCCAGGATAGATGTGACTCACTCATGTCCTGTATGCCAGTCATTCCTGTGGGCATACAAGGATGTGGATGTTTCTCTCCCCCACTCCCCTGTGGGGAAAAATCTCACAACTTGAGTGTTCTTCCCATGGCACAATTCTCGGTTTGGCACCAGGGAGAAGCAGAAGTGCCTTTTCTCTGTGTTTCCCCTTCCTGTTGCTAGTGTTTGAAGTGGTTTCCCAGTTGGTTAGTAGAACAGAGGAACAGTCACATGCTGAGAGTCTTGGTTACTCTTTATTTTCTGAAATTCCATTTTAAAAAGCCAAAATTTTCTCAGATATCTTCCTAAACAGTCTATTCAGATACAGTGTTTCTGTGGCCAGTTCAAGGGTAGTAGTGAACAAACTGGCATCTGTAGTATGACTCGTTTGTAGCACTGCATCCAATGCATGGCACCTGTCTTTTCATCCAATGTACAGCTTGTTGTACAGCTACAAGACCAGAGAGGTGCAGCTGGAAAAAGGTTACTTCTGATCCCATAAAGCCCACAACTGAAACTTCAGATCTCCCACAATGACACCTTTCCTTAGCCATCTTGAAACTACCAGGGCAGTGGGAGATATCCGAGGAGTTTCCTTTTCCTTGTTCTCTCTGGTACACAAGCTTTGCCCTGGCTAGCATTCACAAAGCAGTCATGCTAAGGTCACAGGGACTTGATAGGCTGCTAGTTTCTAGAGAGACATTTCCACATTGCTGGTGACATAGCTCAAGCTTTAGCCCTTACACTGCTGCATTTTCAGAGAGGGCAAGGAGCAGCTACACACCTCCAAAATCCATATATACAGCATACAAGTTATATCCTGCCAAGATTTGGGCTTGAGGGAATGATCTTGGAGAGCTGTGATTCTCAGATACAGGAGCCCAAACCCCTCTTTGCTTGGACTAACCTTTATTAGACAGGCTAATAATTACAAACTTGTTCCTTGCTGACAGTTGCCTTTACCCTGTGCCCAAACATTGCTGTGTCTTTCCTTACAGTCATTTCTTGAGCTACTTACAGTCACATACAGAAGGCAGCCTCAAAGCAGGAAGCTTCATTAAATAACAATGGAAAGAAAGGACTGGCTGTGGATATAAAGATCCCCAGGGATAGGATTGGCTCTGATCACATAGAAAAACCAGCACAAAATCACAGATTTACTCAGTGGTATTGTCAAGGAGCAAATAGAATGGCTGCAGAGTGGTATTTGAGCCTGTCCTGAGCATCTGATCGTAGTGCTCACTTGAGAGATTCCTATGAACTCAAAGGGGCTCAAACCATATGCTGCTTTCAAAACTGAAACGTTTTATTGAGCTCATGCTGGGGTTTCCAGAGATCTAGAACTCCCAATTCTTGCCCAAGTGGTATCTAGCAGAAACAACAAGCACTCCTTATGACTGCACCAATACATCAGCGCAGAGAACAAATAATATGAGGGAGGAAAATGAAATCTCAGTTAAACTGTACCTCCTTCTTACTGTGTTGTGAGCAGCTCTATGTTGCACCTGACTTCTACTACTGATACAGCACAGCCACACCTGAGTTCTGAATGCAGAAAGAGGAAGGATTTCTCACCTGCCATAGGAAAGTAACATATTACAGAACCACTTGTCTTAATAAGAGCTATAATAAATACAGTATCTGTATGCTTGGCAACAGCAGAAGAAACACATTGGAAACAAACAATAGAATAATTGCATTATACTATTATTATTTTGCATTTGCTGTATATTCTCCTTCACTGCATGTGCAGTCGGAGTATATAGCAACACCCCAGGGGCCTGGAAAACCAATTTACCTTTCAGATTAAGCACCATATTCATGTGAAGAGAATATTGTTCACAACTGGGCTTAGTAATATTTTTAAGTGGCTCAGTATGTATGATATGTATTGTTCAGATACACCCTCTGGTCTTGTTTGTGGATTTGTGTATTTACCCATATGAAGTCTTAGTAACCTACTCCTTTCAGGAAGTGTATTATGTGTGAAATGCAGTGTATCTCTGTTTGGTTCTCAGAATGAGCTTCCTGAACCTGAGCAAGACAATGGTGGAACAACTGAGTCTGTGAAAGAGCAAGAAATGAAGTGGACAGATTTGGCTCTCCAGTATCTCCATGAAAATGTTCCTCCCACGGGAAACTAGTGAATCAGTGAGATTTCATGCTGTGGATGCATGAATGCAATATAAAGAATATTTTTCAGCTGACCATCGCTGTCAAAGGCTTCTCTAAGGAAGAAACAGCACTTCTGAAAAAGCCTCAAACAGTGGCCACACACAGTTTAAAATGCTTCTGTAATAAGTGTGAAATAACAGTGGCTGCCTGACACCTCAGAGCTAATATAAAAAATGTTTCTCTTATGTAAAATTATTTCCTATCTTCTGTTAAATTGTTCTTAAGTTGGTGCCAGTTTCAATCTTAAATGTTTTCTACATGTAATAAAAGAAGTTGTTTTTACTGTCTCAAGTTGGTTTTGATTTCAAAACTCACAATGGGATCATTTCTGACTGAAGGTTTATGTCCCAAGAAGTATTCCTGTGTGTTCTGTGGTGAGAGTTCAGTGTACAAAACCCAATATCCCTAAGTCAGTTGTTACCATCTTTAACGAGTGTGTGGCTGAGGAAGGTTGCGTGGGGCAGGCATGACAGATTGGTCAACAGGATTCAAGAGCTGGAAGTAACTTGTAAACATATGTGGTTATTTGAACGCCTCATCTCATGGTTTGATGGCGGTGGTAATACTGGCATTTCCAGTGCTGACATGCTGGGTATGTTTGCCAGTACATGTACTGCAAACAGACAGTCTGATTTGTGCTAAAAAAATAGCATATTTTTGAGTAGTTACTCAAAATCATTGTCTTTTGAGGGAAGATTGAGGCTGACAAGGAAGAGCCTGCCAGTCCCAGTGTACCACCTATTGAATTGATAGCCACTTGGATGTGCTATCTCAGATGGGAAATAGAAATCTGAGGAAAACAATGGGGAAAAGAAACAAGCAGGCCTTAGCTTGAGGCAATAAATTGTTACCTCTTTTTGTGCTGAGAAGAAAGGCAATGCCTTCTTGATTTCTTCCTCTCATTTTATCTCTGACTCTGACATGTCTTTTGCAATAGGTAAAAGCCTTCTGTTCATCTTGCCTGTTTCACTGTTGGACCAATTCCTTCACATCATTGGCAGAACTTGCTAAGGAGCAAATATTTTGACAGAGTTTAGGATTACTGGTAGAGGTGAGAAAGGAACTGGAAGGAAAACAATATTCCAAGTTACTTTCTTTTGCCAGTGCATCAGAAAAAGCACTTCCCTGGATCCTGCAGCTTTCACTCCAGTGTTTTTGGTGTCTTTTCTCAATGTGTAACCTCTTCAAAATAACATGGCTTTTGCCTGTGTGATTACCAAATGGCATCATAGCACATGTCCTGTAAGACTGATTGCTGAACTGCATGAGGATGGAGAGCTCAAGGTGCTTGTGAAGCAAACATGTATGTTACTGGGCTTGCACCCGTGGCTGCAGCGTAACCTGTGCCTGCACCAGGGAAGCAGCAGGCACTTGTCTGAACAAGAAAGAGCAGCAGCCAGCCAGCAGGCAGAGCTAAGGATTAACCCAAGAATTAGCAAAGTCAAAATGCTTAATACATACAGCAGGGACCAAAGAAACAGTTATGCCACTGGGAACTCTAAGAGTTCAGTTCCTCACTGGATCATCACCGGGGGAAAGTAAGCAGAGCCTGTGCTTAATGAGGTGTTTCTGATCCTCCCCATGTTCCCTGTCCCTGGTCTGTGTTAGAAGAATTTGCTAAGGAAACATTAGGAAAAGCTACCACATAGCTTCTACACAGCAGCCATCCCTGCTCTCCGCTCCCCTCTCACCTCTTAACAAACTTCCCACCACCTCATGTTTCCAATTCTGCCACTAGATCTTCCAGCTCCAGCTTCAGACTTCCTTTCCTGCCCGACAGTGGTCTTTACATCTGTCATCTTCCTGCCATCCAGCACGGGAAAAAGAAAACCCTTTCTTACTTAAATTAGAGCTGGATTCATGAGGTTCCAGCAGGTCTGCAGGAAAATATGGATCTGGTGAGGGTGCCAGATGTAGTGTCATCCAACACAGCAGTCACTTGACAGCCCAGTGGAGACCCAGACTGTCTCAAACTGGTACCTTCTCTTGGTCACACCATAGTGCTGTGCCTCCTGCTTGAGGTGACAGGGTCTCATAGGTTAGAAGGGATGCTGGGCCAGAGTGCTCAGCACAGCTGGAGGGATGTGGGAGAGTATGAATCCTACAATGTAGGGCCCTGTGAAACCAGGCGCTTGCCCTGCCCAGATGCTTATCACACTTGCAGTGACACACAGGTTCTCCACTGCCTATTGACATTCTTTGCAACAGACAGACATGCAATAATTCCCTTAGTTTCAACACCTGTAGTCAAATTGCTGCTTACAGTGATACCAAACCATTTGTGTCTTGGATTAGTCATTTCCCAGGGCAAACTAGATTTAAAATAAGGAGACCTGGTAAAATACAAGGTGCCCCACCTTTTTCAGAAGAAGCTTTAGTTGTATAACTAAAGACTGGTCTTCATTTCTTGGCTGGTAACTTCCTCCTTTCACCACACCTACGGTTACTGGCAGGGAAAAAAAAGAGAGCAAACTGTTGTCAGAGACAGAAGATACGTGCCAAAGAAATTGTGGGATCCTTCAAACCTTTTACCTGCAGAAGTTCCATGTGGGAATCCATATGCTGAGGCTGTGCGTTGTGTTGATCTACCTTTTGTATGCGGTGAAAACAGGTAAGAAACCAACCATTTGTTTTCAATGTTTCTGTCAAATATAACACGCTTTCTGTGCTTTGCAGAAGCATGAATATATCTACTCTCTGCATTACAGTTACTGCGTAGGGTTTTTCACCAGCATTATTTATTCTGGCAAAGCAAATTATACGGGTTACATGAATGTAGTCAGCTCTAAGAGTTCCAAATATAAAACCAGCAGTCATTTTTATTATCTTTTCCTCCCTTTGCAAACATTCCTCTTATATAAGTACTATCCATCCACACTGAAAATGTCATTTGAAATCTTCAGAGAAGAGTGATTTCTTCTCAGCAGTGTCTGATATGACAGACGCAAAGGATGAATTACCATTCGTGAACATAAGCTTCATTTGATATCCTCACAGCCCTACCAAGAATCAACCTGTGTAACAATAAACAAATGTACTGCCTTGTGCTACCATACTCATGGGAGCAAGTCAAGTTATAGCTCTCTGCTTTATAGGAAAAAGATAGGATTAAAGAAACCCTAGAAGAATTCTTGTAAATAATAACTTGTATTTCTGGGTTCTCTGGAGTAATCCTGGGGTCGCATTTTGCTTGGTTTGTTAAATATGCTTTAGGAAATGTAGTCGTAAGAGGTGGAAAAAAGGCACCAAGGAAACCCAGTGAGATACTGAAGACCAGTTTAAGAGGTAGAGGGCATGCTCCCCCTTTGGAAAAGTGATAGAAACATTCACTCATGCTACTGGGATTTGCTGTATGGTAGTGAAATGTGCTTAAAGCTGAAGGCTCATTATTGATGCACAGGACAAATCTGTTGGAACACATTGTAAAGAGCCCAGGCAAGGTGACAGTGTTTTCAGTGTCAGTGAAACTGCAGGCAGGCACAGAAGCAGCAACATGCTTATCTGAGATCCATGCAAAGCATTGACTGGGAGAGCAGCCCCCTTCACAGGCTCTTTGTGGAAATACAGTCTTCCAAGGACCACAGCTAGGACAACTGCAAATCTGACCCTCTGAAGTGAAAATCTGTTGGAACTTCACTTTGCAAGAGGACAGACCGGTGGAGTTAAAAAATTCAGCTGCTATTCTATTCATGCAGACAGCCTCCAGATCACAGCCCTGAAAATGCCACTATTGCAAACCCTGCCTGTGCGCAGGGTGAGCATCCTGGACAGATACATCCAGGGCAGAAGAACATCCAGGACAGAAGGAAGAAAAAGCCTGGTTCTGAAGCTACATACATATATAATGTGGTTCTGAAGTTACACATATATATATAGATATATTCATATTCATATATGTAACTTCAGAACTTCAGAATCCTGCTGCATTAGCACCTCTGAGGCTGATCTCAAGCTTGTGAGGAAACTAGTGTTTGCCATCCTATTTTACACACCAGAAAACTGAGCAGACAGAGGAAAGTGAATTGCCTGAGGCTGTTCAGCAAGCTAATGGCCTAGACAGGGCTGGAAGCTAGTTAATGGGACACTGAGTTAATTGTCACATTTATTCACCTTTCCTTGAGGGAAGAGGACTGTTGGACATGGGTTAAGTACAGTGGTCTGTTTCCACCTCACTTACTTGCTTGCAGAGTTAAGCTCAATCAGCCTCTTGTCCATCAGAGAAATCATGCTGGAGTTTCAAAGACAATTCCAGCCATTTGGGTAGGATTCGCTGTGCTTATCAGCATGAAGAGCAAATCCAGGATCACTGGCGGTCCTCATGTGTCAGCTTTTGTAACACATGGTGGATGAGTCTGGGATATGCACCAGCCTGCCTGAAGAGAAGCTGGCAGGTTTCCCCCCACTATTAGCACTGATCTGATTTTGTTAATCAAAATAGTACAAATCTAACAGACTTGGTGCAGATATAACAAGGCTTTTCAAACAGTTCCTGTGTTAGGTATTAGCAAATGCTGATCAGATCCTTAAAACCTCCTCTTCAGCAGAAGGTTTGGGCTGTTCTGGTGACAAACATAGCGCTCCTGTGGGCAAGTCTCAGCACAATGCAGGAGATACAGAAACAAATGAAGCAATCAGTGCGATCTTGCACCATGTAGAAGTAATTCTTGCCTGCATTTCTGCCTGTACTCCTACAGCTTCAGCGGTGGTAAAGACGACTAACAAGACTATATAAAAATACCATAGAATAAAACAATGGTTATTAATGAAAAAGAAATATTGTATTATTTATGTGGCAGTAGCACCTAAAGGACAGTCGCTGAGAATCACTGTGAATGCTGGTGTATAGCAGCAAAAAATGATGCCTTTTCTCTGCTAGCTACTTTGAGATCTCCATGTGAGCAGTGTCACAGGGGAGCTCTTACTGCTGCTTCTCTGGAGCATCTTAGCACTGTAAGAGCAAGGTGAGAGCAAGCTGCTCAGGAGACAGCCATGCAGGTCACCTTTACTCTTGCAGGCAGGACCCAGAGTCCCACTGCCCCTGTGAGCCCTGATTGAAGCATTACAGAGGCAGAACACCCTCAATTCAAAGGCCACTGATTTCAACTGAGGTTCACTGGGCCTGGCTGAGGGCTCATTTTCTACCACTCCTCTCCCACTTAGTCATATTTTACCGTAGGCTTTATACAGGAAGGACTCCATGGGTTTCTAGCGCTAAAATTTATTTCTGAATTTATGGTAGCAATTTAAAATATCCAGTTGGACTTAACTGCAACATACTTCCAGCCTATTAACTTTTATTTCTGGAGCTCCTGGGAATTCTACAAAGTAATTAGCAGAACTATGGCAACTGAGCAATCATTTTATGTGCTGGGCACATAGCATTTATATCACTCTTACGCTTCTGATTTCCATAGGAGGAGAACAAGGAAAGTTGCTCATAGAAACTGTGAGAGTTTCATCATTTAGAAATTGAAATGCACAGAGCAATGGAGATTTGCTCGAGCTCAATTAGCTTACAGCTGTGGGGTTTCTAAACCCTTCTACCTACTGCACAGCCCTTCAAACAACAAAGCTCAGGAAGATTTCTCTAGCAACTGCAGCCTGAACAGTTAATTGCAGCCCAGGCTGTATGTGTGAGAGACTCACTCTCCCACAGGGTTCTTCAATCAGATTAAGGGGATTTGCAGAAAAGGACTGTGACGCAGGAAGAGGCTACAAAACCTGAGAGAGCCTTCATAAGCAGTGTCTGTCTGGAGACAGTTACTCCATTCCCTCCCAGTGCCCTGCTGGAGATAGCATTGGACTCTGAAGGCTCAGCTGGTGTTCTGCTGGAAAAGCAAGGAACAAAGACAGGCTTTCAAATGGCAGAGGCCATCCCATAAAGCAGCACTTACATAAATCTCAGTTACTCTTCAGCTGTGTATGAAACAGTATCAGTACCGTATCTCATGCGGTCAAAGGGTGTCCCATTTTGCAGTCTGAAACAGCAGGCTGCATCTGCAAACACAAATGAAGGACTGAGCTGTCCCTCACAACAGCAAGATCCTCTGCAGCTTGTCAGCTCCAGTTACAAACAAACCATGAAGGTATCTCTTTACTCTAGAAGCCGTCCGGAGCACCTGGGTCTGCTCTCAAACCAATACAACAATTGGTTGTCAGTCTCTAATTTTTTTCCTCACACCAGAGGGATTCTTGGAGAGAGTATATGCCATCTCCCAGATGCTAGTGGAAGCAGGACTGTGCTGCTCCAAGATGGTACACCTGCTGTCTTTGTTCCAACATGACAAGAAAGCCTAAGGTTCAGGGTAGCTCCAGCCATGAACATGATGGAGAGGAAAGAGGTAGCTCACAACATATATTCCTGTGCCTGTGCAGGCTGGCAGGAAGAAGGGATCAAAGCAAATGCATTGGTGCTAACCTCAGGATTGCCCCACTGTGCTCTTTTCAGATCCCGAGGAGACATGCCCTGCATTCACAACTCTCAGCATCGGCAATGCTTTGGTAGGGACACACCTGAACGTGAAGCTGCTGCTCTACACCAGACAGAACCCAACCTGTGCTGAAAAGCTCAATTCACCAGCCTCCAAGTATCTAGATGTGACCAAGAAAACTACCTTCATCATCCATGGGTACCGATTCACAGGCTCTGCCCCCGTCTGGATCCCAGACTTGGTGCACCTCCTGCTTTCTGTAGAAGACATGAATGTCATCGTTGTGGACTGGAACCATGGGGCAACAACTCTCATCTACAGCCATGCTTCCAGAAACTGCAAAAGAGTTGCTGAGATTCTGAAGAAACTGATTGATGAGACGTTGGTAAGTTGAACACTCACACTATGATACAGTCATTAAGGCACCGTATGGAGAGGGCACAAAGGAAGTGGTTAAAACAGCAGCAGTTCTGGGAAAATAAACTCCTAAAAGGAAATATATTAATTTTTTCGAAGTGCAGCTGTACTTGCAGTGCCAAACTCTACCCTCAGTCTTGGTACAATGGTATTTTGTTGCAATATTCAGTTTATATAAAAAAAAAAAACTCTACAGATATGTTTTCCCATACATAGAAACTCTATTTCCACTTAATGTATGTCCAAAAGTAAGCTTGTGGGCATCCACTAGAGTTTGCAACTCCTCTAAGATGTTGCACAGGTACAGACAATGATGACACTGGAATTCTTGCAGGAACTACATGTGGGGCTAATGGAATCGTTCTCATGGGGCTGATGAATATTCTCTCCTTCCATACTTGTAGTCACTGCCACAGTAAAATACAACCATTGCCTGAGCAGCTCTCATCACAGCTCTGTCAGATGTGGGCCTCAAACATGAGCGCTGGTGGTACTGTGGGATCATCAAAGGGGGAATATTCACAGAATGGAACACACCAAGGGAGAATGTGGGAAAAGTAGCGAGATACATTTACATTCCTTCTAATACTGTTTGTGCCTTTCATGTGCCTAAAATCTGTGACCACGAGTACTTTTAAATCTCAGATTGATGGAGCATCCCTTAACTCCATGCACATGATAGGAGTGAGCCTGGGAGCACACATCTCTGGCTTTGTGGGGCAGCTGTTTGATGGTGCACTTGGAAGAATCACGGGTAAGCTCTTCCTCCTGTCAGTCCTTTTGCCGCAAGGATAGCTGTTCACCATGACCACAGTCAGTGCTCAAGTGACACCAAGTGCCTGGCTTTGTGTTGCAGGTCTTGACCCAGCAGGCCCATTGTACCGAGGAAAACCACCCAGTGAGAGGCTGGACCCTACAGATGCACAGTTTGTTGATGTCATTCATTCAGACACGGATGGTACCTGATATTTGTCCTCTTTACCATAACAAAGAAACCTAGAGGCTGATAGGGAGCATGGAAAGCAGGGGCTCTGGTAGGCAGCAGTGATCCTTGCTCCCCTATCCCAGGAGAGCAGCAGTCTCCTTCAGTGGTGCTGTGAAGGGCTCTGTGTCCCTGCCTTGTCCTCACTGTCATCAGCACTCCCTCGGGAGCTGCTGTTTTATTTGCATTTCAAACATGCCGCAGGTTTATAGCAATTACAACCTCATGGCCCGTGAATAGCAAGGACTTAGGCACTGGTGCAGCAGTCCCCTGTTGAGACCAGCACACAGTCCTGCCGGAGCAGTTCCCCACTAACCTCACACTGGGGGGTCATCCCAAAAGCTAGTCACACCGCTGAATGCCTTGCATAGCAGATCAATTATTCCCAACCCAGTGGCTCCCTGCACTCTTCATCCCACCTCCCATAGGCTAAACCCTCCTCCAGGGTGAATCTGGAATCTCCTCCAGCCCTCTCCTTTCCCAGCCGGTGCACAGCACATCTCCAAACCCACAGCCAGGGCAGCAGTGCAATGCAAGCCCTCCGCTCTGCTCACACTGGCATCCGGACCCACTGGGCTCGGCTTTCCGACCTCATCTTCTCCCAGCCCTTCCAAGAACTCAGACTTCAGCAGCACAGTGATACACAGTGTTTCACATCCCTTTTCCTCTCCCACACACAATGACACAAAAAGCCAGAGTTTGTACTGTCGCATGCACTGACTTATTTTAGGTATTTGATAGCATTGCTAAGCTGACACAGCTGGGTCACAACCATTTGGCCTGCTGCCTAAACAGATGAATGACATTAATATTCCTGCACAGGCAGGCATCCTAAAGCTAAATAACTATTTTTTTCCCCCTAGTTGTTTTCTTATGTTTCCTTCTTCTGCATTTTATGATTCAATATTCCCACCCCACACCTCTCATATTTTCTTTTATCAGGACTAGGTTACAGAGAAGCATTAGGCCACATTGACTTCTACCCCAACGGTGGGACCGACCAGCCTGGCTGCCCACTGACAATATTTTCTGGTAATTCATTCTGCCTTGAATTGCACAAACACTGACAGAAAGAGAGGAGAAGGACAGAGAAACATCATCATTGCTTAGAAAATACATGAAGCCCAATTCTGGGAAAACCATAACAGCAGTCTCTTCCCAGCACTGACGTGGCCCAGAGATGGAAGAGGGGGTTAGCTGATGTGTATCAGGAAGCCATACGAATCAGGATTAATCCTGTTCTGTCACAAATGCAAATAGGATAATTGTCCATACACTGAGTTATAAGGTGGATTTGTGCCTTTATTTTGTGAATATATTTAGAAAACCTGTGGGGTTATTATTATTATTACTACTAATAACAATATTATTATTACTTCTTAGAACACACACAAACTCCAAAGACAAGCAATAGCAAGAACCTGTTCAGAAAACAGGTTCAAGATGAATGGGGTTATAATGACCCCAATGCCCCATTCTTGGCAGTGACAGGCAGTGCAGTCTGGAAGGCAGAGGCCTGGTCTTGAGTGCAAGAAAGCTTTTACCCTTTCCAGCCTGGCAGCAATGGTTTTGTGGAAGTTGGGTGAAGAAGGTACCTCATGGAAGAAAAGGCAGTAATGTGAACTCAACCCTTTCAAGACCCAAAAGGATCTGCATAGAAAACAAACCTGAAACAAATATCCATAGGAAATATGGATTTTTTTTTTTAATGGGAATGAGGCTTCACCCATTTTGCTGCTCATGCAACACCTCATTTTATTTGTTATGTCTTTCTAAAGAGTTTTTTACACCAAAAAGAAGAGAACACCTGACACTGAATAGTGTCTACAGCTGGATCCTCTGAAATTGCACCAGTAGACACAGGCAGAGCTGAGTGCACTCAAAGGGAGAGGCCAGTGCCCACTTAGTGTTCTGCCACAGCCCCATGCAATCTGCTGTTCAGGCTGGTCAGTGATTGTCCCTTTTAGCTAGTGCATTGATGCTGTTTTCCGGAAGCACGAGGGTTGCTAACAAAATGTTTCTTCCCTGTGTATGATTAAGGATTGCAGTATTTTAAATGTGACCACCAGAGGTCTGTTTTCCTGTTCATGTCATCCCTGAAACAGAGCTGCAATATCACGGCGTACCCGTGTGACTCCTACAGGAATTACCGGAATGGCAAGTGTGCCAGCTGCAAAACCTTCTGGCCTATGTCGTGCCCCATCCTAGGTGAGGATCCAGGGAATGTAAATACATCCTGAACACACGTGTCTGACAGAGCTGCTCACTGTTACTGAGACTTGGAGTGTGACAAGTGTTTTGCTGAAGGGCTAACACCACATGGTGCTTTGCGAAAGCATGTCAGTTATTCCCGCTGAAGCTGTTGAGACGGTGTCTCACTGACATCTGCAGGGCCACAAACCTCTGCTGCAGGCAAAACAGGCCTGAGAAACGTCCCTGCTCTTTGTGCAGTCACATCACACTACAGTCTAGAACACAATGCACGTGTAAAGGATTCTAGAACTGGAAAAGCCAAAACAAGATGGGATCTTTACACAAAAGTCTCAGAAACAATGAATTAAGGTCCATTAGTTGCAGAGTTTGAGGGATAGGGACATGTTCTTACTACAACAGAATCTTTTCTAAGAAATCTTCAGCTCCACAAAGCCCTCTTGACTGTAAAAGGAATGGCAGTGGGATGGACAAAGGGTATTCTGGGTGTTTGACCCACAGAGGTGTCCCAGCCTGGATGTGACAGGCTGCCATTTCTGAAATGCTGATGTTAAACCCCCTGACAGTTCCAGAAATGAGCTCACAAAAAAGGGGATGATTTTCATTCTGCACTGCAAAATGAAATCCTTTTTGACCATGGATGGTCATCAGATGTGGAAAAAAGACTGACCTTAAAATAAGCATTGAGCAGTAACCAGGCATATTTAGACACTCAGCTGGCTTTAGTTACACAAGTCAAACCCAGCCCTGGTACAAGTCTGCAGAGCCCAGGAGCATGTGTCACAGCACCACCTCACAGCTGGCAAGCAATATGCTATTTCTTAAATACTTGCTTTGTTACTTTCAGCAATTTAGTTGCTTACATACCTGTGCAGTAACTCTGTTTCCTCTACAAACTGTCATCTATAGGTTATTATGCCCATGAGTGGAAAAGCTATTTAACACAACAGAGCCATCCAGTGACAAGTATGTTTTTTGATACGGCAGACAAAGAGCCATTCTGCAGTAAGTGACTAAGATTTCTGAGATCGTTTTTCTCTGCGTATTGCCTCCTTCCACAGCAGCTGAGCAGGGACGTTTAGTTGCAATTGGCATCATAGGCAGCATTTTAGAAGCAAAGGCAGCAGCTGCTGGGTAGAATTGTGTCCATCTGCAGCCTTGCCATTACGTTCTTTATCTGCAAACCTGCCCGGTGCTGTGGAAAGCCAGTTGCTTGCTAGAGATGTGTTAAGAACAGGCTCATCTTGCTTACGGTGCTAGGAAATTTGCTGAGAACACGCAAATGAAACATGAAAGGGTAGTTCCTAAGCTGTGTTTCAAAACAACACACCACAAGGTGTGGTGCAAGGAAAAGTTGTGTGGGAACAATGGGAGTCAAAGGCATGCTCTGAGCTGAACAGGTGAAAGAGCTACCATGGACAAAAGCAAAAGGCACAGGGAAAGGGCCCAGGCAAGGGAGAATTGGTGTAAAAAAAGGTTTCCCCAAGATTTCTCCTCATCTCAGTGGCCACCAACATACCAAGCCACGGGCAGGGATTATGGCTGGTCAGCAAGTGAATTCTGTGACTGACAGAGCAGAGGAAAGAACAGACAATTCTGCTCTAAGACGGAGAAGACAAATGAAAGATGGTAAAAAAGAAATGAAGGGGTTCAGGAGTGGACATTCAGAGGCAGACAGGACAAAGAAAAGGCAATCTGAAAATGAATGAAGAAGGCAGGGAGTGAGAGGGCGTGTGCTGAAAGGCCATCTTGCATGCCATTTGTGTAACCCTTGCTGCAGGGCTTTCCCACATCTCTTAATATTTCTGTTAGCAATCTCTGCAAAGGGAGGTGGAAAAAGGGATGGAGAAAGAGGTTTTAGAGATGAACTGAATGGGAAGAAGTCATCCTCTGACTGCAGTTCAGCTCCAGACAGGCACAGAGCTGGGCTGGAAAGCAGAGCAAGCATGCAGACTCTGACCAAGCTTGTGCTCTCTCTCTCTCCTCAGTTTATCACTACTTTGTGGATATAACTACATGGAACAAAGACACCAGAAGAGGCACCTTCAGCATTGTACTAGCTGATGAAACTGGGAAGGAGGCAGAATCTAAAGTTAACCCGTAAGTCTTACCCATCTATGGTCCGTAAATGTTAGCAAACCACTTGGTATGACTTGCATATGCGAGGAGGCAAGATACCCTCCTCTCATTTCCCTGCTGATCCTTGGCGGGGTACATGCCTTAGGGCTTTCCTGGCCCTACGCAATCCTCACAGGCTTCCCTGCCGCAGAGCAGCTGACAGCCCAGGCATTTGGTTTGGGCTCTTCTCAGTCGTCTAAAGGACTGAAGTGGACAATCTCAGCCAGGGGCACAGCTGTCCTGCACTTCCACTAAAGCAGGAGGAAAAAACACATCTCCCCCTCTTTCCTTCCCCTTCCAGGGAGTATTCCGTTGCAGCTCTGCGTGCCCAAGACAGCTGGGATGAACCTGAGCCTGACTATGTAACACCCAAATCAATTCATTTCACTTGGAGAGGCAAATTAATGACTGGTGCTTATGTTGACATACAAATTCCCAATTGATCATAACACGCTTCAGTCAAACAAGTCCTGCTCAACTAGTTTTCTCTATCTGTATACTCTCTCAGCCATATCTGCTTGCACTGGAGCAATCTGCATAGCTCCCTGGGGCTGCACAACAGGACCAGCGAGTGTGTGGCAGCCCACCAGGCAGCTTGCCTACGCACACACGCATCGGAAACACCTTTGGCAGGTTAAAACCTGCCCTGTTGTGTCAGACTGCTAAAACTTCTCAACAAGACCAGGCATTTTGAGCATTGCAACCAGGATACACTTCCATCACAACTGCACTCTTCACCTTCCTAAGGGAAAACTTTAAACAATGGCCATACAACCAGAGATATAAAGAATGTGTTGTGTGGTCATGGCCACGGTTGTGCTGCTTCTGCACCAAGACAGGTTCCGTTTTCATGCATATATCAAAGTGGAACTGGCCATCCTGTCAAACCCCAGCCCTGCAAGTTTTCATGTCTCTAAGCCTGTGCTTAAAGCTGGATTACTTTCCATTCATTCCACTCAACACTGCACTGTTTCACAGATGCTTCTGCTGCATTTGCCGGAAGAGACCTACCAGAAATTTAGCTAGGGGCATTAATACCCCCAAGGTACAGTCTTCCATTTGTAGAGCTTCCTCAGCCATACAGTGTTGTTACAAACAGATGTCTATATACAGCAATGTATTCTCCAGACTCCACAAGTGACTCAGTGTTCAGGTCTGCACACACAGCCAGGTACAAACATCATTCGAGTCTGGGCCACTTGGATTCAAAACAGCATCACAGTGGGGATTCTGGTTTGGGACCAGAGCAAATGACATCAGACCTCTGTGTCCCCACTCTCACCCCGAATAACTGAGTGCAAAAGTGGCTGAGCAGGTTCACACCTGGAGACCTGAATTTCCTGTAAATCAGAAGCTGATTGTGAGTTCAGTCCTCACCCCAGCACTGTTCCTAATATCACACTGAATGTATTACAAGTGGTGCTATTCCCTTAGTGACTCTCCAACACCTTGTCTGCTTTATCTTTAGAGAAGTTTCAGCCTTTCAGCGTTACAACCAAATCACTTTGCTAGTCGGATTTGACCAGGATTTTGAAAATATAGAAAGGATTTCCCTGACGTTTTCCACAGGATCTGTCATTGGCCCAAAATTCAAACTCAGGATTCTCCAAATGAGGTTCCGGTCACTTACAAATCCAGAAAGGTAAGCAGAGGTTTAGAAGCCATTGCAGACTGGACAGAAGTGAATCAATCTCCCACATTCCTGGCCTGGCTAAGTCTGTCCAGAAGAATTAGTTTTATTTCACATTTCACTCTTGTACACCTGCCTTGGGAATAAATGCTGTCTTTAGTGCCTACACACAAATCCCATAGGTGAGCATGCACCTGAACACAGACTTTGTCTTATTGTACTGAACACATGTACTTAGTGGCCCAACTCTGATGTGGCCTGACCTTTGTACCTTTGGTCAGGAAAACAACTGTTGAGAAGCTGCCCGGACGTGAACTCTAGACTGCAGGTAAATCTAATACAGATATCCAGTCCCAAATACACATTTTATAACCCAGCCAATTTCTAAGTCCAGCCAAGCAGGGAGATTAATTTACTCCTGGAATTCCAGGAAGTGGGAGCTGCTTGCCGCTATGCCCTAACGCACTGACTACCGTCCACATCGTGAGGCACCTGCCAGGTTATTTGCAGATGAGACCTCTACAGCTGCTTCAGTCACCTCTGCTCTGGAGTCCTACCCTTAAGCTTCCCTGATTTCTAGGGCACCTTTGCAGGATGGGATCTCTACCTGAGCTCAGCAAGTACATAATCTCTTAGGTTGACCCTATGTTGCTATGTGAACATCAATCCATACCATGCTTTAAATTTGGGTTAAACAAGGATTGCATATCACAGAGTGAGGAGGGTGAAGCAAAAACAAAAGGACAGGGCTGCGGAACATGTTTGCTTGCAGATGATGAAGGTCAGCTTATCTTAGCCTTGCAATAAGGAAAAGATGGTGTATATACCTAATAAGCAAAGTCCTTCTGCAGCTCCCCCTTGCTGACACTCACTTTCTCCTGTTCCCTATCTCCACAGTCACTTCCAGCCCAAGAGCCACATACAACCTTTTAAAAAGCAGGTGCAAATGCCCTAACCTTTCATCAGAGGCTGTCTAGTGTCTCCTAGGCGGAGCTGCTACAGACTATGAGCACAGTTACATGACTGTTTTAACACCATTATGTGTCGCTGTCACATGGAGGGATGTCCTGCCCTGTCTTTTTCTTACTTCAGTGCTAATTAACAATGCTCACGTGGCCCCAGGTGAAACCGTAAGTGTTTCCACTGTTTTTTGGCTGGTCTAGCTCTAAGCCAGATCAATGCCTGGTCCCAGCTCCAAGTGCCAGCACAATCCCTAACATTGGCACCAGGGAATTGGTGCGCTGGAAGGACCACCCTGCTCAGGGAGCACACAAGTGTAGACTGGCTCAGAGGGAACCATGAACTCCACAGCCTCAGTTTGCTTGCTGACTTTTGTGTTGCTTTTTCCACAAGGAAATGCCAAAGATAACAAAGAACAGAATGATCAAGGTATCCCTGACATCGGTAAGGCTTGAACTCAACCTCACTTTAGGTGGAATTCAAGCTAGCTGTCCTGAGAACATGACCGATTAAATGTGAGCCTCCAGCATGCTGGGAGACTTGACTGGGAGGTGATACAAGAAAGGCTGATCTTTCACTTTCTGGCTTGCATTACTGTGTTTATGCAGACCACAGCTGTGCAGGTACGACCTTGTGCTGATGGAGAACACCAAACACACCTTCAAGCCTATCCCATGCTGAGGTAGGAGCTAAGACCTGCATGTGTCACATCTGACGGTGACAGCCGTTCACAGCCGTCTGGGGACTCACCCGAAAGCTCCACGGCACCTCCTGCGGAGACCAGACGACAGCGCGGCAGGGCACTTGTATCAATGACCTGATTTATAAACGGGGCTGTGGAACTGACACAAGAAACACGAGGTCCTGCCGTGCTTCTGGGATTCGGGACCGCCTTTGTGCCCCGGGGAGGAGGCGGGTCCCTCGGGGCGGCCGCGCTGCGCTCCGCCCCGCGCCTGCGCGGCGTGTGAGGCCGCACCGCACCGCACGGCGCCGCAGCGCACCGCGGGATGTGGCGGCGGCTGGCGGGGCTGCTGCTCGCCTTCGCGGCCGCCACGGCCGGGTTGTGGCTGCTGTCGTCGCGGCTGAGCGCCGGGCAGGCGCGCAGGTGGGTACGGCGGGGGTGATGCGGGTCTGCGCCCCGGCGTTCCCCGTGCTCTTCCTTCCCATCCTTCCCCTCCAGGCCACTGCGGTTCCCGTCGGACCTGGAGGAGCTGCGGGAGTTGGCCGAGGCGCTGCGGGACTACGAGCGGCAGCACCGGGGCGCGGCGCTGGCCTTGTTTTGCGCCGCGTACCTCTACAAGCAGAGCTTCGCCATCCCGGGCTCCAGCCTCCTGGTACGGGAGCGGGGCGGGGGGGCTTGCAGGGCGGGAGCCGGTACCAACCTCTTAGAGGAGCCCTGTGCCCGCAGCTGGTGCTGGGTGAGGAACAGGGCTATCGCCTGAAGGCAGCGGGTGTGAGGGCACACGCGTTTGTCCCGTCCGGCTCTCAGTCTGTTGTGCCCCGGCAGAACGTCCTGGCTGGAGCGCTGTTCGGGCCGTGGACCGGGCTGGTGCTGTGCTCAGCCCTAACGTCTGTGGGAGCGACCTTCTGCTACCTGATCTCTGCCGCGTTCGGGAAGCAGCTCATCGTCTACTACTTTCCTGACAAAGTGGCTCTGCTGCAAGGAAAGGTAAGAACGGGGCTGGCTGTGCAGACACGCAGAGCAGCCCCTGGTTGAGGCTGCCTTGTGGGCTGACTTTGTGAAACAATGAAAGCACATAGGTCTGTAAGAGACCTCTGGCACAACCTAAGAGCAGATTGCTTTCTTGGGAGCAAGCCTGATTGCAAAGAGGGTGCATGGAAAATCCCAGATCCTCCCAAAAAAATCCCAGACTGGTTTGGTTTGGAAAGGACCTTAAAGCTCATCCAGTTCCAACCCCCTGCCACAGCAGGGACACCTTCCACTAGACCAGGCTGCTCCAAGTCCCATCCAACCTGGCCTTGAGCACTGCCAGGGATCAAAAGTAACATCAAATGGATTGGCTGGGAAGCCCCTATGCTCCAGAGCTGCCTCTTGCCCATTTTGTGCTACGTTGTACAGCTCGAGGTGGTTCTGCCATTGACTTCCTGATGTCATGCAGGTTACAGCCCATTTTCACCACTTGAATGGAAGGGGCTGCCTTATCATTAGGCACACATACATACATAAATTTGATGCTTTTCATCAGTTCTGGACTGGTGTAATGGCATGTTAGAAGAAAACTTCACTTTAGTATTGTTGCCATTCAGATATTACTTGTGTCTGAAGGGCAGAAATAATTTGGAACGTTTCTCTTGGCAGGTAGAAGAGAACAGGAGCTGCTTATTTTTCTTCTTGTTGTTCCTGAGGCTGTTCCCCATGACACCAAACTGGTTTCTGAATCTCTCAGCTCCCATTTTAAACATCCCTGTGTCCCAGTTCTTCTTCTCTGTCCTCATTGGTAAGGCCTGGGGAGACTGTCTGAGGGGGTAGTGTGACACTGCCTGTCTCCTCATCATCAAGCCTTGGGCAGTACACTGGGCTCTGGAAGGCAGAGCACCAGGGTCATAGCTGGGACTCTGCCCCATTGAACTGTTTGCCTTTGTGCTGCCCTTACACTTGGAGGTCTTGAGCATTTTACAGATACCAGTGGAGAAAGAACCCCATTCTTTCCATTATGAACACAGACTCCTGTGTCTGGCCTTGGGCAAGGGTGTACTTGAGATAATTTTACGTAGGTGCGATGCTAACAGGGTTTTTTCTGCTCTGATTCTTTCAGGTCTTACCCCGTATAATTTCATCTGTGTGCAGACAGGAGCCATTCTGTCACAAATCACCTCTTTGGATGCCATTTTCTCCTGGGACACATTGCTCAAACTGCTCGCAATGGCTGTGGCAGCACTGATACCAGGGACCCTTATCAAGAAGTACAGCAAGAAGCGCTTGAAGCTGGATGACAACAAGCACACTCAGATACTCAACGGCAAAAAGAGCTTGTGATGGCCCAGGTGCCCCAGATGTTGGGGCCTCACAACAGGTCTCTGTCTCGGGGGCTATATTCTGCATGCTCTGTGCCAGCGTGGACCAAGGACAATTGCAGTTTTTAAATCATTTTTCTTGTCAAAGAGGAGGTATAAGGATCTTTATTTTTAATTAATGTTTTAACTGTGCATGTATCTGCACGGAGAGCACTATACAGGGGCTCTGTGAATACTTCGGTTAATGTGCCTGTTTTGTTTAAATTGGCCTGTGCCTCCAGCGTGCCTGAGGATATTGACAACCCCCTGCAAATGTATCAGCACGGGGATGAAAAACAGGGAGTATTAGCATCCCATGAGGAAGGCAAATCAGAACCCCTTAGTTCCTCCCGGCTCTTGAACAGAGGGAGCCCACCACACTCTCCCTCCCATGTCAAGACAGGCTTCCACTGGGCTCCCATCCTTCCCTCCAAATCCAGCTCCATAAGCCCAGCTTGTCTCACTGGTGTGACTGATGTGGCAGCAGACAGCTGGGTTTCTGCCCAGCCTCATCCCTTGGCGCTTGGGAGGCCACAGCACATAGGGCTGTGTCAAGCTGCAACAGCAGCTAGTTTGCAGCAGCATTTCCCAGCTCTAGGCAGGCCCTGCTCCCTCCTCCCCCTGTCCTCTCCAAACCCATATTTGTTCAGCATTTTTGGCCTGAAATGAAAAATCATGCACTTCTGTGCTGTTAGGTACAGTAGTACAAGGACCAAGTTGAGAAGAAAGTAATCATGTTTCTGCACCTTCTGTAGGAGAGCTTGCACAGTTGTAAAAGACTTTTCCTCTATCATTCAGATGTTAAGTGCACCCTGCAGCAAAATCATTCAGGATTTGGGACCAGCTGTGAGCTGCTGGTATGTACCATTCATATGTCAGAACTCAGGAGATTGCTTCTGTCAGTGGCTGCTACTCCCCACAAAGTCTAAGGGTGGGGGGAAGAAATAAAGAACTTGATGTGCCCAGCTGGCAGTACCTTTAAAACCTACACATTTGTTCATGTGTAACTAGAAGGTTTCCAAATAAGCAGGTTAAGTCTTTGTTCCATTGCTGAAGGTCATATTATCTTATTAGATACTCTGCTTCTGGGGTTTTGGTATTTGCACCTCCTTGCTCTACTCTTCATGAGTCTGCCCTCCACTCAGAGGATAAAGTAAACTTTCTGGCATGGAAGAGGGCAGATGGGAGCACTCAGGAAGATGAGACAGTGAATGCTTCATCCCCACCAGTAGGGCTGAAACTGAGTGGGACAGCAAGGTTCCCAGGATGAAAAGTCATGGCTGCAGATTCAGTCCCCAGTTCACATTGCAAAAAAATCACTCATTTGACAAGAGCAAAAGCCAATGCTTTCGTGCACGGATAGGCTACATGTGTCCAACCAAGGCTTCCCTGCTACTTGGAGCTCCTGGTAGTTCCAGTTGAGCTGTGTTCAGAGATACGTAACAATTAGTTATTAAAAGGCTTCATGACATTGTCCCAAAGTACACAAGAAACCATTCCCACATCACCAAACCAGCCTGAGAAGCATTGAAGTACACTGGCTTTTTATTCCATGCATTGTTTGCTTTGATAGTCATTCTTGTTTCCATCACTGTACACTGTTCAATACAAAAAAAAAAAAAAGTCAAGTTTGTATCAGGAATCCACAGAGCAGGGAGGAGGGAGATGAACACTACTGGACAGGGCCAAGATGAAATGGTTACTTAGAACACGACAGTGGGGAACGCAACATTCAGCTCTGAGAGAAAATCTAGGCTAGTGTTCAGGAGCTGTCAGCAGCCGTGAGAACTGGATCAGGGTAGTCAGGATGCTGAAAAAGGAACCTACAGTTTACTTCTGCCCTGCAAATACAGTGTTGCTGAGAGGAGAAAGCAGGCTGACTTACACCTCTCAGCCCCATACCCTGCTAGGGGAGAACATGTGAGGAACCGCAGCAGAAGTGCCCATACAGCAACATGGAGATCATGTCTATGTGCAGATCTAGGGAGGTTTCATTAAGGAAAATGCCTATATAACCCCCTGAAAAACTGCCAAGAATGCAGGGGAATGCTCAGCCACTCCTGCCTGCACACAGCCAAGGGCATGGGATGTGCGCAGCGGGAGCCTGGGATTACGTCTCCATGGGTACAGTGTTATGTGTTTAGGCAAGGGGGGGATGCCCTAGTGGCAGTCCCAAAGGGACACTGCATAGTAGGCAGCAGTTGGGATGAGCGACACTGGACTGCAACAACGCAATGACTGGGGCATGTAAAGAAACTAGAGCTAAGTGTGGCAGCAGATAACCTGAAGGGTTCAGCTCTGCTTTTCCGGGCTGCAGAATGGGCCAGTGTCCCCAGGCAAGGATGGGGAGGAATCAGCACACACCTGGGACCACCTGGCCCAGAAGGGTCCCAAAATCCCACACATCAAAGTTTCTCTGCACGCCCAGAGGAATTTCATTATATGGTGGAAGAGGGCTAAGCAGAGACCACAGCTACCAAAACCCCTCTGGGATCTTTGTTAGGGACTGAATCATTGCAGACAAGTCCCTGCACAGAGACTCTGACAGGCCTGAGCTGGAGGCAGCTCTCCTTTGGCTGTAAGGCTGCCCTAGGACACCAGTGCTGCCCCGGCTGGGAATAGCCCTGCCTGCTGGAGCTCAAGAAGCCTGTCAAATCTGAGCAGCAGAGTGTCTCCAGGGGCATAAGGTCTGGCATCTTCTGCTGTGGGGGACATTTGATGGCAGTTCTCAACCTCTGTATGCAATTGTTCAGTCTCTCTCTTTGTGTGCGTAGGTTAAGTGCACACAGTTCTCCATTGCTAAATTCCTGCACCCCGGCCTCTAGCCTCCTGAGTGACCATCTGCACCACCTATTCCACACCAAAATCACACACACACCATGACAGCTAAGCCTTCCACCTCCTCCTGCCGCTGGCCAATAAACAGAGAACATCTGGGGGAGAAATGAGGGATGAGAAGAGTGAGGAAACAAGAAACAAGCCAGGAAAGAGCTTCACTCCCCAATGGCATTCTGCTTCCACCCAGAGCTGAGTATTGCTGCTGCACGCAGGTATGAGCTGGTTGCTCCCTCTCCAGCAACCTCTTTGGTCCGACACGGATAATCCACCATGTGGATCCACTGCTGGCCACCCCAATCTCGTACCTGCTGCCCAGAGCAACTGCCCTCCTCTCTGCTTGTCCTTTTGAGTGCTCTTGCCAGGGATCTTGTTCATTTTGTGACCAGTTCAGAAGCCACTCACTCCCTGATCACCATTCCCCATGAGATCAGGAGCTGTCAACTCTACCAGCAAAATGAGCACATTGCAGCATTAACCACGAGGAGTACCATGAGGCTGACTGCATCCACCTCTCAGAACAGCCTTGACAGGTTCTCTGGCCCGGTGTAACAGCATCCTTAGAAACCACGAGAGGCAGCCACTACTGACAGCTGCTGAGACCAGCTCTGCTCCCATTCCCCCCCAGCTACCAGGGAGAAGGTAACATCACACAAACAGATTACAATTGTGCTAGCAGTGAAGCCAACCTTCTGATCTACAGAAATGATAATAAATAATAAAATAACATCATAACTTAAGATCTGTGTGTAGTCCAGCTACAAAAATTTAAAAATATGGGATAATTTAAACTCATACAATACTGCTCTCTGTATAAGTAAGACATTTTCCTTCACTTTGCCATGAGGCTATAAATTACCACAGTTAAATTCAAACCAGTATTTTAACATAAAATGTAAACAAACAAAGCAACAAAAGTACCTGTCCATGGTCCATTCCTGCCGTTCAGCTCAGGCTGGTGTGCCAGTCTGCAGAGCAGCACCCAGCACGCTAGGAAGGGCAGAGTGAAAGCTCTTGCAGGGCAACATCAGCTAAAGGGGTAGGGGGGGAATCGTGCTCTATCGTTTTGTTCTCTTTAAATATTGTTTTAGAAGAGTAGTGTTTGAAGGGAAGGCACTATGAGTTCTATCAGAAAACAAATTTTTCTCATCTGCCAATGCCTCGGCCTGTCACATAGCAGTACTATTCTCACTTTCACCTGCAGAGTTTCAGCTTAAAGGAGAAACAGAGGCCTCAGGGTACACCTGAGACACAGCTGTGACACAGCTACCATGGAGATTCCCTGTGCAACCCGTTTTGCACAAAGCCTGACATGAAGGGCAGGCAGCTGTTAATGCTTTCAAGAATGTACAGTGAATAAGGAGACAGAGCAGGGCTGATGCTCTTAACCTAGGCCAGTGATTCCCAGTCTTCCCCCTCAACGCACAGCTCTCTGCTGGTTATTGATGCTGTTGTAGGTGAGAGACTGCTTCTCCAAGTCCAGCACAGGCATCTCCAGTTTCCTCCCCAGAAGAGTGCTCAGGCTCTGCAGAATGTGCTTTCCACGGTTTGCAAGTTCTTGCTTTTCCAACACTGATTTGATTGATTATTTTGACTGACTGAAACAGACAGGAGGTAAGAGAAGGAAGTAAACTGGGAAATGGCACACTGCATCTGAAAGAGGTTTCCCTGCTCAACTGGAGATCGACATTGCCAGAGTGAAGCAAGGACGATGTTAAGAAGTGCTCTTATACCAATTCTCGAGAGGACGAGGTTAGAATACATTTGCAGGGTCTCACAACAAAATGCTGATTAAAAAAAGAAACTAAAAATCTTTAAAATAAAACCCACTATTACATTCCTGGGGATGTATCAACTCAGAAGATCCTGGAAGTTAGCACCTCGGTACCAATATTCTCCAGGAACACGTCCAACCTTCTGATTAAAAATGACCCAGCTGGTTATACTGAATACGCTTTGTTCACAGGTTACCCTATACTAAGGTCTTTTTATGCTTCCTCATTTGGTAAGACTGAGTGGTTTAGTTTTCTTGATCTGTTCTCCAATCTTCAGGGCCATGAGGCCTGGTCCCCTGTGAAAGCAGCAAGAGAAGCCCCTCACGTCTGTACACATAGCTGTCCAGGCAGGACTCCCAGGATGTTTCTCTGTAATGTGCTTGCTTTCTGAACTTAATTTTTTTGCAACAAGTCTGTGTGTCTATAAATACAATCCACTCTTTACAGTAAAAAGTGTTAAAATGTCAAAAAAATAAATATCCATGTTACAGTAACTAGATTATTCAATAAAATACATCCCTGCCATTCTTGATTGAAATGCTCAAAGAGAATTAATTTCATTTGGACATTTTCCAGAGATTCGGGTTATTGCAAATCACTCCTGGGGTGGGAAGGAGAAGCATCTTCTCTTCCTGTAAAGTGTGATGAAGGGGAATGAAGTGGAATCTCAGGGAAATCAAAATGCCAGTATCAGGAAGCTTTGGGGGAGATCTGTTTTACCAAGTAGCAGAGCTGCAGGGCTTATTGGTCCTGACTGTGGCATCAGAACACTCCCCTTCAGAAGAGTCACAGTCTGATTCTCCAAACTGTGCTGGGTTCTGCAAAGCAAAAGGAAAAGTGGAGACCTGAGCAACATTCCTGCACCGCAGATCAACCACACCATCCCAACCTGTCACAGCAGACAGGCAAAGGTCACCACCAGCAGAGAGATTAGCAGCACACAGGAGATAACAACAGTGCACAATCACCCTGCCAAAGGTCACTTGTCTCAACAAGGGTACAGCAGAAAAGTATCTGGTCAGAGCATTACCAAGGACACATGGAGTTATGAGAAGATAGCACAGCAGGCTCTGCCCTACCCCTCCCAAATACTTGGCAGACAGTAAAAGGATGAAAATCATTCTAGCTTCGCCAGCAAGACTGCCAATGGGTAAGCTTGAGGCAAACAGTTTATATCCATTCCATTTCATTATCTATGTACTATTTTTATTCCACTTAATGCAACTGCAAACCTGATGGCCTCCCAGCATCATGCTCATCTTGACCAGGAAATTTTGTACAGGTTGCTTTGTGCTACTTTTTCCCCCAGCTACTCATCTGGCCAGTTATAAGAAAGACCTATTTAAGCAGTTGCTTTTCTATAGTACATCTACCACAGCATTTCTTAGACAGTCACCCAAATTTCTGGCCTTTGGATTCATTTCCATAACATTTATGGGGGTTTTTACTCAACAGAAAGAAGAGGGGAGAACTAAACTTACAACTCACCTCACAGCTGTGTTCATCTGCACAAAGTTTGCCCAGAGACATCTGAGTCTTGACTCTCCGCACTGCACACTCTTTGTCTGAAAGCCCATCAGACTGGGTAGAGATTTCAATGGGGATCTCTGGAGTCTGGGACAACATGTCCTCCAGCTTCTCAGCCAGCTCATCTTCCAGCTTGGCTGCCACCTCATCCGGACTGTTTGAATGATCACTTGTGTTCCCCTCCTCTCCATCTGACACAGAGAAGTTCTCCGAGCTGAAGGTTGAGTAGGACTGGCAGCTACTGATGCAGCGGTGAGGTCTGCAAACCAGGAAAGTAGATCAGCATGCAGCTTGTATCACAGTATCTCTGACTGCAGAGAGTTTCCCAGGTGCTGTGCTTGGCTATTCTGTTATACCTGGTCTTGACAGACTCCACTGCTGGTGCCTGTTCAGCCCTTGGTGAGCTTTTCCCCAGGAGCACACTGCCAGCCAGAACAGTTACAGCTTCTCAGTGGGCAGGTTTCCACACGTGCTCTCACTGAACAGAGTAAGAATGAGCTAGAGAGCCAGCACAGCCTTACAGTTCAAATATCAGGAACTCTGTTTCTGACATGTAGCAAGAGCAGCCCTCTTTTGGAACATATATCACAATCTAACCCCTCACAGCATTAGTAGTGCAGTGAATGCAGAGTGGCTGCTACATTCTACACAGGTTTCCCCACCAAAATTCTCGTCCTCCTTTCTGAAGCATGACATGCAGAGCAGAGTTTTGCACCTGTACTTTTAACTGGCATCTTCAGCACAACATGAACAGGGCTTCCCTGCTGTAACAGGCAGCCTGGGCTGCTCAATCCCCTTCTCCCTAGAAGACATCACTCAGGCACAGCACATGCAATACTGCCTGGTTGCTTCTCCACACTGGGCTGAGGACTTGATGCTTCCAAAAACATCTTTGAGCAAACAAGCTTCTATCCCTTTCCAGGGGATAGAAGGCTTCACATCAACTCTCTGAGAGTCTCTTCCCACTCTAAGAACACTCCTGCAGCTGCATCATAACTGATCTGCAAGGCTGGCAGCAAGAGCTCTGCAAAGTGCGGGGCTGCCTTTCTTATCTTGAAGCTATGGAAACCTACCACTGTTTGAATGATGTAGTTCAATATCTGCATCTTTAAAATTCATATGTTTCTATTCTGGCTTGTCTGCTACATGTTCATACTAGCTGATCTGCTCTGGAGCATAGTCTTCTTTAACAGTCCTTTGTCCTAAAGCAAGACTGTACTTTAATATACAAACCTAAACTGTATTAGGTTTCAAGCTAATTCAGTTGGGAAAAACAGTGATCTCAACAGCCAGGCTAGAATTTAGATATGTGCACTCGAAAGTCCTCAGTTACCTGAATGTGGAAATTGCTTCATACCAGGATTGAACAGTAATAGCACAAATTATCAGTTGGCTGATCATGCCAGGAGACCCACAACAGGTCATCACATTGAATTTAGGAAAGGCAATTTGTCTTCCAAGTTAGTAAATCACAGAAGTGGCAACTATCACACAAGGACTGTATGAGTGAGCAAGCTCCTCTAGTTCAGTGTTGTCTTTGACCCTAGGCAGGAAGACATAATCTGGGTAAAGTATGACAAAACAGAGCATGCAGACAGAGCCTGCTTTCTCCTGGCATATCTTCTTGGTTTGTATCACTCAGCAAATCTAACTTCTGAGCTGAAGATCAAACCTGCAGTGCCAATAGACACCAATGGATCTATACTCCATAAATTTAGCACTTATTCTTGTTTATGTTTTGATTTCCACAGCATACCTAGACAAAGAGCTCCACATATGAAAGCACTTTCTTTTTTTCATTTTAAGCCCCCGTTTGCTTCATGAAATGTCTCTAACACAAACCGTATCGTTGTTTGTCCATTTTTTCCACATCAATTACAATTTCATGCACCTCCAGTACCATCTCCCCTCCTGCTAGACAAGTATTTTTCATGGACGTAATCTCTTTTTTTCTATGGAAACCACCTCTAACCATTCTTGTCAGACATTCTCAGTACCTTTTCAAGTTTTACCATGGTCTTTGAGCTGGGGCAATGCAGTTGGCATTCAGGAGTCAAGCTGCGTGATGTGCTGTGAATGTACACAACAGCAGATACAATTTTATTTTCTTCTCTGCTTTCTTCCTAACAGCCTTTAACCTGTTTGCCCACTGTATCACTTCTGCACTTCAAGCAGCTGCTTTCATAAAGCCACAGCACCAATTCTATGATCTATTTCCTGAGCACAGGACTGTAAAGCCCACTATTACATAGGCTTCAGTAAGAATGCCCCTGCAAGTCTTATTTTACAAGCAACACCATCAAATTTGATCTCCCTTGTTGTCACCTAGCTCTTCAATCCTACTTGAACTCAACGACAAAGGTGCTGGAGTCTGCTCCACTGCAGCAACAGTTAATAAACATTTGAGAGAGCCCACAAAGGGTCCCAACATTCAGGAAGCCTGAATCTGGTGAAACAGATGTAGCAGCTTATTATTACAGGCTGAATAATGTCATCAAGTGTGATCCAACTGTGCTATAAAAAGCCTGCAGAAGAAAGGCTGTGCTGAAGATACCACCTCAGAACAGGCTGAAAACAGCGAGCGAACATGGGGGAAAAACAGTGTGGACGGGACACACTGAACGCAGTTCTATTCTTTTGTCAGCGCCTCTTACAGTTTCAGTCCTGGTGCTACAACAGTTCTCCTCCTGAATTTTGTCCCAACAGAGACTGATTAGAGTGAATTCACCTTTTACCTTTGTCTACGAGGGAACTCCACTTCACTGTCTACTTCGCCCTCTTCCTCTTCTGAAGAGTCATCACCACTCTGGCAGAAAACAAGGACAGGAATGGTATCATTTTGGTGAAAGAACAAACATGCAACTACATGGTTGCCCTTTGGTCCTCCAGGACAAAGTCACAGTGTCAGCAGCCTGCAACAAGAGGAAAATAACCTGCACATCAGTGAAAACTGGCTCAGGCATCTTCTCACCAGGAAATCCAGCAGTCTTCATGCTGCCATTTCTGAATTTGGAGTGACTGGCTTTGAAATACACTGGAGTACTTCAGCAGGTATTGAGTACATAACATTCCAGATTTTTACAGAAGCAAATTAAGTAGTTAATACCATTCTGAAACCCACATAAATTACTGAGGTTATCTAGCACTCTCGGCTTTACAACGTCAACCCTCTTCTGCATGAGCCCACCATGGAGCAGGACGGGGGATGACATAGCCTTTGCTGGTGTGTTTCACCATCTAGGAAAACTTGAGTTTTGTTCCATTCTCTGCCTCAGCAATCAGAGCCCTTTATTCTCCTTTTCTCATCCAAATCCACCTCCTGCGCTCTTAGTTTTTGCAGCCTTGTCCTAGCCTACCCAACCTGCCAACCCTTCATTCAGAATCAGTCTCTTATTTCATCCCATCCCATTGTAATGTGAGGTCCTCCTCCCTTCATTCATGACGCAAACCACACTCTTGGTCTCATCCTCCTTTTCCTTCAGTTTTACACCCAGACCCAGTTTTCCTACTCTTTGAACTCACTCAGACTGGTTCCTACTTCTCTCACCACCTGGTGGATGGAAGCAGGAAGAATGAACTGTTTCTGTACAACTGTGCTGTAACATCTTTTCGAACTCCTGCAAAACCTTCACAAACACACAAGAACTATGACTTTCAGTCAAGGAGATAGTTTCTGGCAGGTGCAGCAAAAGGCATGTCCCCAAGATGATGGCAAACGTTGAATTCCTGTTCCAAGACACAGCAGTGCTACAGATTCTCAATGAAACTGTTACAGGATATTTAACATCTCCAAAACAATGCAGTTACCCCCTCCTTTGTTTTGAGAAAGGCTTGAAAACATTTTGAGACAGTTGCAACAACAAAAATTCAGTAGACTAAGTTTCAGCTCAAACAAAAACTCACTGAATTGCAAGTAACAGACCTAGGCCCTATCAAAACCCCATTTGACAGCCCTCATTATTAGCAGTATGCTCCAATATGCCTACAGTACTTCTGACATTAAATGCATGTCCAGATCACAAAGTGAAGTTCAGATAGGCATTATTTCTTTAAGATGAAGTTGTACATATAACTCTACTGCTATGTGCACGGGCAACATGGCTTTGCTACTATCCTATATCCAGACACCTCCTTTTGGTGGAGAGGGAAAAGAGGAACAAACTTCGGATTTTCTAAATCACTATGTTTTGTCCTTACCTTCTGAAGGGGTCTTGGTTTGCAAGGTAGCACTGAGGAAGCCATGTGCTGAGGAGTACCTAGGGCAGATGCTGACTTACAGCTGTCAAAGCCCTCTTCATCCATCTTCTCAATGAACTGAGCGTTTTCATATAGGGAAACGGATGTTGGTGATTGAGAATGGCTCATCCCTGTTTCAACAGATGACATCTGCACCTGACCACTGTCCTCTTCCCTGCACTCTAGACAGGAATTATATGGATCTGTTTTGCAACACTCCCAATGATCAGCTTTGCTTTCGTTGCTCTCCAGGTTCCTTCGGCAATCTGCTTCCATGGCAGCAGAGATGAGGTCAGGGCTAGAACCAGACATCCGCCTTTGCGCATGGTTACTGAGAGGGCTCCGCAGCGCTGCTGCAGGGCCGAAGTACCTTAAGTTGTTTGCACAATTGGCAATATCTTGTCCGTGGGCATGAAGCCGTGAGTGATGGCCATGTGGATGGCTGTGGCCAGGTTGCTGTGGTAGGCTGGAGTGATGAGAAGGATTATGAGGTGGAGGAGGAGGTGCATCGTCTTGCACTGGCTGGTTTTTCAAGATCCCTGCAAATTCATTGTAGCTGCCTTTGCTGTTCCCTCGGCGGTGACGTGGCTTACTGCGGTAGCGGCTTTTGCCACTCAGCGTGGACATTTTGGGACTTCCTGAGACTGGTGAGCCATTGGATGCTGCTTCTGTGCTGGGTATGCCCTCTGACTTCAGTAGATCTGGCCTGGGAGACAGTCAGCAGAAGTTATTCATTAAACCACACTCAGACATGACATCAGCTTGGAGTCAAGATGAAGAGGCAGCTGTAGCCATAAGCACACCCCACTTTTTAAAATCTACAGGCTACCCTCTTATTCAGCTGTTTGACTTGTGCATTTTAGGTTTATTTAATTCTCTCCACTCAATGTCCTTTCTGTTCAGCTTATGCTCTACACTTTTTTCTTGGTGATTTTTCCAATATATGCCACATACTCTCCTTTTTCCACTCTTATTTTGATGTTCTGTTCCCAAAATAGCTCCTTCCTAAGACCTTGGTGCAGGGCACGTCTTTTACTATGCACTCAGCATGGTAGGATCCCAATCTGCTCATGGTTACCAGCCTGCTCATTTCAGAAGCATGTGTGGCTATTATTTCAGAGTGATTATTTACTGTTAATCAGGACTCTCTAACTTCTGGAAATCCCAGAAAATAAAGAAGAATAAGATAGAAAGCTCCCATTAAAAAAAAAAAAAAAAAAAAATCACTTACTGAAAGTCATGCAAAAGAGACACAGCTGAAGAAGACAGCATGAATTCCCAAATCTCTCATCCCAGTTTAATTCCTCAGTAATGAAACCATCCTCTCTGAGGACTGGTTTATTCCCACAATTCCTTACCCCGCTTAGAAATTTGAGACAATACATTAGACACCTCCTGTCAAAGCAACATCATCTGCAAAAAAATTATATGGGCCAAACAGCTCCAGAAAGCTGCCCAGGTAGAAGGGACGACAGAATTCATTCCTTCTACCTTCAGATAATTAAACAGATGTGGTTCTGAGGATCAGATCACGCCCAAGAGTGAACATCCCTTTGGCCTGTTCTTTGTTGTCATCAGACTCAAAGGCAAGTAAGCTGCCTGCTTATCTCAGAGGGGATCTACTGCTGGTTCCCGGCACAGGGCTAGGTTGCTCTTACCGTTTAGTCTGGCTGCCTGGTTTATGGGAGACCCCTTTCCTCTTCATCAGCTTCTCCACCGTATTGGGGTGGATTATTGGTCTAACTGGGTGGCGTTTATAAGTCCCAGGGTATTTCTTTTCTACTGCTTGTTCCCTCCTGAAACACAGGGAAGAAAACCAAACCCCATAAAACAGATCAATTCTCTCTTTATCCAAGTGCAGCTCCTGCACGGCAGAAGCACAGCTCCACTGCGAGCACACTGTGTGCCTGTTTCTCAGCTATGGCTGGGTGCAACACAACATGCAGCATGAAAGGGTACAATCCTTTTCTATATACTCTCTGCAGAGATCAGGCAGTTGGAACAGGGCCCTAGCACACAGTCCTGAAACAACACTGCTTTTTTCTTTACAAAGGGGCCAAAGGATGCCAGCATCACAAGGGAAAGGTGCCTTTCTCCCAGTCAGTGGACACTGGGTAAAGATATGTGCACTAAGTGGTCTGCAGTAATCTCCTCTTAAGGGGCCTCTCTCTGCTTGTCAGCTCTTCACTTACCCTGTGAGCTTGTCGGGGGCACTAAATCTACAAGTACCACTGTGCAGTTTAGATGTAAAGCACTCGTTTTTTGATCCTGTATGCATACTGCCACATGCATGGCATGCCATTAGGCCTAGAAATACATACTTTATGAGCTCCTTCTCACGGACCTCCAGCTGCAGCATAATAGCACTGAGCTCCATGTATAAGTTATTGGCTCGTTCCAGTTTCCTCTCATAGTGTTCACGGATATCTAGTGCATGTCTGAAAAACAGAAAAGTTGTTATTCCACAGTTCACAGACCAAGAGAGGAGGATAAGTATAGGTGCTTTAGGAAAAAAACTTTTAAAAGCTCAATTTTCCAGCTGTATTGCACTGAACCTCAGATAGAGGTAACAGTGAACAATAACTAAGAGCTTGATACAGCAATGAATCATTGTGTGACTTAGAAAGCATTTCAGTCTTGAAAGAGTGGCAACACTTCTCACTAGAGAAGCTGGAAATGCCTCACATGCGTCCTTTGGCCAAGCCCTGAACATCCTGTTTGCACAGAGAAGGGGCTAAATCAGCTTCTAAAGAAACAGGGAAAGAAGTCATCCCTTTGTATTTCACAAAAAGCAGTATTACCCTATAACTACTATATAGCTGCAGAAGACATCTTGACCCACAGCTGAAAGATGTGACTATCAAAAGCTCCCTAGGGCTAGGGAACACTCATCAACAACTACATAAAACTGCTAAACAAGGTTTTCTTTAGACTCTCAAGTTTGACATAGAACTGCTACTCAGTGGTTCATGTTTCTCTGTCACAACTACACTGCAAATGTTATCACAGAAGATAACACTTTCTTAAATAAACATTCCGCTTTCATTGTTAAGCTGGTGTAATGTTCAAAACGAATTTCAGTAGGCTGGTAAATTGGAGTGTGCTCACTTCTCTGGAAATAACTAATCCAAAGAAAGTACCAGGGCAGAGACAGCTCACAGCAAACTGCAAGATGTGTTTTCCACCGAGATGGATGTACAGGCTTGAGTGCTGTCAACACACACATCAAAACTCAGGCAGAAACATTCTGTGGTAAACACACAGGCCTTTGCACATCTTGCCTGGAGCAAACTGCTCGGACTGCCCAAAAGCAGGCAGAGTTTCTACTGTTCTGTTCTCTCTCTCTCTCTCTCTCACTAGATTCCCATCTGCCAAGCAGCGCTCAAGGCCTAGGGCACGTCCATGGGAACTTCAGTTTCTGGACTCACAAGGAATTTAGGCTGCCCAAATTTATACCATCAGGAATACTGCATTCTGTTTTGAGGTCATCAGTAAAAGAGGAGCATGAAAACATTTGGGGGCTAGAGCACATGCCCTGTGAAGAGAAGCTGAGGGAGCTGGGCTCATTTAGCTGGAGAAGAGAAGGGCTGGGTGGGAAAAGTGAGCAGTAAACATAAAAGTCTGTCAACAGACCTCAGCTCTTCTCTTCGACGACGAATCAATTCTTCATCTAGCCGGTGGATACAAGTTCCTTCACTTTTAATTTTCTCAAAATGTTTCTTCACTTCTTCTCTCCATTCAGCCTAGGAAAGCAATTTACTTTTAGGTATTTACAATGAATTGGGAACCCTAGCTGCACCAAAGAAACACTCTCGGGCAACATTCTTTGTGTCTGCAGAAAATTACAGGTTTGGGTTGAAAACATGTTTCTGGTAATTCAACTATTTGGGTAACAACATTGCAGCATGTTCAGCTTTTTCTAATGGTGTTTTCATTTGTGCTCCAATTAGTTTAAAATATAACTGCATTTTTTAAAATATATATTTTTAAGAATTCCTAAAGCTCTTTTCATCTTAACACAACATTTTGTCCCTTTTGCCATTTAAAGTAAACATAAAGGCTTATGATTTGGAAAGCTGTATTCATAACAATGACTGTCATTAGGGTGATACCAGCTCTGTTTTCCCCTTAAAGCCCTGGTGCTTGCAGGTTGAATAAATACACCTGCTTCCTCACATAAACCCTAACACCATATAGATCCTCTCTACTGGAGGCAAGGTTTCATTCTCATTCCCTCCTTGGAAGTAGACAATAGCACACTGGGTAGGACTCAGAGGAATCTTTGAGAACATACTTTCAAATCTTTTCTGGAAGTCCCAGAATCCCTTCACTGCCCTGTAACAGCTCTTTGTTCCACTGGCTGCCTGCTCATCTTCACTATGAATGCAATGGTTCCGCTCTCAGCAGTCTCATGGTCTCCTGTACAACAGTACTGGGAGAACAGCTGGGAGCAGAACATCTAAAGTCAGCAGTCTGAGGGAGAAGTGAATGAGACAATGCTGAGTTTCTGACTCACGTCAGCAGCTGTCTTAGTTTGCGAAAGTTTGGGGAAAAGATTTTCAAATACTCATCAGTTTGCTTCTCCCTAGGAGTCAAACTGAAATCACGGATCCAGATTTCTGCTGTATTCAGTGCAGCCTCTGAAATCAGATCCTTGGAGCTAACTCTTGTACTCATGGGCTACAGCCATTCTACAGTTACCTGCGATTTGAAATAGGTTTCCTGAGGAGTAGCCAGCACATCAGCAGATGCAATATCCAGGTGCATCAGTGTTTGCCGGAAAGAGGGACGATTCCGGGGCTTGCTCTGCCTGAAGCAAAACAAATACCCAAGCATTAGGTGAGGTTAATACTGCTAGCTTCTCTTACCACTCCAAAGGCTTTCTCACTAGACCATGTTTTCTGTATTGTGTGGCTGACAGATTAGAGCAAAGGAGATTTTGTAGCTTTCTCTTTTTCTGAATATGAGTTGCTTTATAATCATCTTTGGTTTGTGATGATCTATTCTGAAGACACACAGAGATGAAAATCATCTAAAATAGAAAAATGTGTTTACAAAGTAGAAGATAGGATACAAACTGAAACTGTTCCTAACTTGTTTGTCAAGACCAAACAGGTGTAAATTCACTATCATGGTAATTTCCAAATTTTCGAATGGTAATACTCAATCTAGTAGAGATGATAATTTACATTCAACTAAACAGGGTGTTTATAAACACCAATGTCTCTATGTTGCCACATAGTACATGCCTGAGCCTACAAGTATTGTAATGCACTAAACATCTAAGATCACATTCAAGTACAAAAGCATTTGTATCTTTGAGAAAAAACACCAGCACTTGAGCTTCAGGACCAAACCCACCAGGACTTGTTGCATGGATTCGGTGCCCAGGACAAAAAAAAAACAGCTTCTACAGATTACCTACTCCCACTAGGTGGAGGTAAAAGTGTATGTACTCGGTGTTGGGAGCCTGCCTTTTGCAGCCATGCCTAGAAGCACAGCCAGGCAGAGCAGTCTCAGCACAGATCCTGCAACAGCATGACCTGCTGCAGCTCAGGGTCGGGGGGTAAGCAGTCACCTGAAAAGATCCATAAAAGCTCTCACCTATTTTTCCCTTTGTGCCATCAAAAGGATGGCTGGTAAAATTCATGGAGTGGGAAAACGCTGAAGACCCCTTACACTCCATGTCAAATCCAATTACAAGGACAAAGAATTTTCCATATCTATCCCTGTAAAATACCAGTTCCATAAAGAAAGCTTTAATTTCTCTTCGTCCAGTTTAAAACCCAGTCACTTACAAGGGGGTTTCAGAGTGAAAAAATCATTTCCTTTAACCCTGGAGGCAGCCTATAGAAATTTTACCCCTACTCTCCTTCTATCTCCTTTTCTCTTTGCACAGAGCTACCTTTTATCACCTACTTTGCTACAACAAAGCACCCACCTCTGTGAAGGCTACTAAAGATGACCTTTATGCTGCCTGACCTTGTATCATAGAATTAACTAGGGTGGAAAAGAACTTTAAGATCATCGAGTCTAACCTTTATTCCAGGACTGCCAAGAGCACCACTGAATCATGTCACTAAGGCCCTCATCTGCACGGTCTGTGAACACTTCCAGGGACTGTGACTACCACTGCCCTGGGCAGACTGTTCCAATGTCTGACCACCCTTTTGGTGAAGAAATTTTTCCCAATATACAATCTAAACCTCCCCCGCTGCAACTTGAGGCCATTTCCTCTTGTCCTATCACTTGTTACTTCAGAGAAGAGACCAGCCACCTCCTCTCTCTGTCCTCCTTTCAGGTAGCTGTAGAGAGAGATAAGTTCCCTTCCTTTTCTCCAGCCTAAAACCCCCCAGTTCCCTCAGCCATTCCTTATAAGACATGTGCTTCCAGACCCTCCATCAGCTCTTCTCTGGACTCCAAATCCTGATTCACACTGGTCAGCCAACTCAGAAGTAATCATCACCCTGCTGGGGCTCCCATCAAGTTCTACTCCCCCATTTCCCTCCTGTTGAATTCCTTCCCCCTCACTAGCCTGTCTCAACAGCATCCCCCACTCCCTCCCCCACCCATCTGCCCAGCAAACCAGACAGGTTGCTTCCTGCTTCCCCTAAGCAACAAACATCCTCCTGGAGTCCAAGCCTGCTGCCACAAGGATGCAGAATCAAAACGTTAAAACTTACTGCTCTCATGACAAGTGTGAGAGTATTCAAGAGCCCTCTGCTCTGGGCTCAACACCCTGACTCTGGTTTCACTGGTTTTACTGGGAGTCTCGCAAGAGCAGGGAGCCAGCCCTGGGTCTGTGCAGTGTGGGGTTCAGGCTCTTACCAAGTCTGCTTCATGAGGATTTTGAAACCATCTGGGCAGGTAGAAGGGACTGGAAGGTGCAGGCTGTTGCTGCCCACACCCCAAATGATGGCCGAAGAGTCCACATCCTTGTAGGGTATCTCTCCTGTAAGCAGCTCCCACAAAACTACCCCAAACGACCTGATGAAGAAATAAATCAGGATAAAAGCTTCTGTGTGAATTCAATTTAACAGAAACACATGGAGCTTGAAAAAAAAACTCCACTGTTTGATCTGAAATTGCAAGTAGGTGCAAGTGTGTTTACATACTAATTTTTACCAAAGAGTACCTATTTCACCTACCAGGTAACTCTTCCTCCTCTGCCCCAGCACTGGGCTGAACACCAAATCACACTGGTTTTCACCCACCCTTCCCTACTTGTGAGATTTTAAAGAACCTGAAAGCACATTTTCTGCACAGATTAAAGCTCACTCCTGGTAAATGAAAAGGAAAGTTAGCTTTCCTCAGATAGACTTTTGACTATTCTTATTGTTAAGAACAGTTATTCTGTTGTTCTACTAGTTACTCGGTTATTTCTAACTGGTAAGTGTCTTACAGAGAAAACACAAAGGTTTTCTGTTGTTTTTTTTTTTTTAAACACTTCAACTTTGTTTTCCCTAGACAAAAGCTCCCTCTGCTGTTACAGATACTCCTAGGTGAGTTTCGCAGGCTTGAGACTCAGCGCTACAACTACTGCAACATAGAAACTAAGAAGCAAATGCAACATGTCTAAGTGACAGTATCATAAGCATATGCAGTCTCATCCAGTATTTATTTTGTGCTGAAGAAAGGTAGGCTGAAAGGTGAAAAAAATAATTAAGAGAACTCTTCCTGGAAAAGAGCCTCCTATTACAAGAACTGAAAGGCAAAGGTGAAGAAACTCCCTCTGTTTCTCTTCCTTAGATCAACAGGGACCAAAACCTAAATTTATAACAGGAAACAGCTACTTGGTTTATTTACAATCTTCACTCAGTAAAACACCAAAGACATCTCAAACCAGTCAATAAGGAAGTAATCAAAATGCTGCTGAGAGCCAACACCACTCTTACTGTACGTAAACAACCACCTACGATGCAAGCTGAGGTACAGCCCTCTCAATTTCAAACCCAGATATATCACCTTACCTGCCTGCCCCATCCATCTGTGGGACACCAGCCCTGCCAAGCTTGCTTCACCAGGTGAAAAGTGAGAAGTGAGTTTCTGGCTTGTACTAATATCAAGTTGCTTTTAGCAAGTACAGATGAACCGACTGGGTCTGGACAACCAGTCAGGAAACAGAACTTCATGTGAAAAATGCTGCACTTCCAAAGCCCATCGGCTTCAAATCTTGGGGGGGGAGAAGGACCAAAAAGCAAATCTGAACATTTTTTCCCTCAAAACATTTTCCCCTGGGCTGCAGGAAAGCATACGGGACAAACTATGAGGACACCCTATCTGGTTTCAGCTTTGTTATGATTAAGAACTGACAAAGGATTTGTTTATGATTAAGACAAAGGATTTTCAAGACTCCTGGTAAGATTATAGATGTCTTTATTTTTTTAGCATGCTGTTAAAGAGGAAAGAGAGCAGACATATATAAGCAGCTCAGGAGCTGTTCTCATTTGTTGTCAGCATTCATGAACATCACTTTTACTCATATTGGAGATGGAACGGATATCAAGGAGGAGTTTGAGCAATTGTGACTGCAGCGAACTCAAGAAGAACTTGCACCAAAGAACCTATAGCTTTGCAACAAGAAGCAACATCTCTAAGTCACTGAGGAAAGGAGGAAGGGAGGGCCCTGATCTTCAACACAGCAAGCACGTGGTTTTTATTGCACATGGTACTCCACACAATATTCCTTAACCTAAGCCACTCTAAAGGACAGAAAGATGAGAGTGGAAATCCAGCACTATGCCTCCTCATGAGCCTGTGATTCAAAGGAAGGAGCCTCAAAAGACAAATGGCAAGTGTATTTTCTTTCCAAAACTACCCATGAGTTTCTCCTTGAAGTGCTGGCTCTGCTAAAGCCTGCTACATCCACATAAAATGAACATACAAAACACTGTGGGTGCAAGAAGATCTGTATACTGAAGATTACAAGACTTTCCCTGTCCCTTCAGGAAATCTTAACTTAAAGTCATGACCTAGCTCTGAGCTACAACACCAGCAGCAGCCTGCTGTGTGACTCCACTTGCACTCTGAACCACCCATGCCTTTGACCTGCAGCTTCATGCTGCATGAGGGAGATGACAGCATTTGAAGCTGAAAAAACACAAGAAAGAAAATTCATCTCGGCTAGCAAGCAGGGAAAGGGCATCCACCCTGGCTACTGACATTCAGCATGCAGAAATAACAAGGCAGAAACATAGTTGCAGTTCCCTTGAGGATCCCAAATGCTGTGAAGAGGAGCTCCAAAGGAGCTCCAGGGCTGAGTCCTCTCTCAAGCATGGTTAATAGCATGGAGATCTGAACCTTTCCTGTGTTCCCTTGTACACAGGACATTTCATGAGGGATAGAAAGAGGCATTCAAAAAACTCTTACGATATATCCTGGTTTCATTCCTCTCAGTCCCAGCGTTAGGGGTTAGATTGACTGGACTATAATCCTGTGGCTGTACATACAACAGGAGAGACCAGTATAAGGAAGGCAAAAGCTGGCTGGACCCTTCAAGCCAGCAGAGTAGAGGGCTACCTTCAGCTCAAGCGTGGCCCTAAAGAGGGTAGAAAGCAAGTGAAAAAAAATCTGGCTGCAGAAGTTGAGGTGGCTTCTGAGCACCAGGAGTGGAAGAAAGCTCTGGCCTGAATAATGACGCAGGGAAGAGCTGTTGCATTTGCTTACTGCAAGACACGGATAGTCTGCACTGAGTCTCGCTAGGTATCTTCAGATCTCAACACACAGCTTTTACACATGTATGTCATTTCTCTTCCCATTATAGCCATTATAGCTCATTCCATTACAGTTCAATAACAGAGTTCAGTGCACTAGGGAGGTGGAAAAAAAGAATAATCTACCACAGAGCAAACTGTCCCCATGCTTAGGATGAGAAAAGAGCACTGAATATGTAAAGTGCTAGGAAACCAAGTGGCTTTTAAAACCTTGGCCAGGAAACAGAAGGTGAAGATACTTAAATGTTAATACTACTCACCAGATATCCACCTTTTCAGAGACGGGCTCATTGCGTATCACCTCTGGGGCCATCCAAGCCACAGTTCCCGCAAAAGACATTTTGGTACTTTTATCACTGAGTTCTTTAGATGTACCAAAATCTGAAATTTTTACTGCATCTGTGTGTGTAACTAAAACACTAGAGAGAGGAGAGGGAAGAAAAAACAAAACCAAGAGAAATCAGCGTTTACACTGGGAGAAAAATCCCTTCTTCATCAACACAGTTGATATGGGCACCCTGTTCACAACTGCAGTACCAGAAGAAAGACTATGCATTTTCAGCAATGAAAACACTCACTTTCTTTGGGGCAGTTGTGTTTTGTGCCTCAAATGCATTTCTAAATGTGACTAGTCAAAAATCAATCTTGATAAAATTGCAAATTAACAAGTCACTGAAGAGCCACTGTATCTGGGGACATTTGAGAATTGCAGTAAAGCTGTCCTTTGAACCACACTTTAAAGCATCTAAAAGTATGCTCTTAACACACTGTCACAGTCATGTTATAGGCTAAAGAAGTGATAAACGTCTAGGGAATAAGAATATAAGCAGACAGATAGTTTTAGTCAGACAGCAACAGAGAAATGAAAAAGATGGGTTAAAAAAAAAAACAGGGAGATAACAAAAGAGCAAATAAGAAGGAAAAATAAAAAAGCAGAAAACAACAGAATATCCCATTTTCAAAAAGGAAAAAAAGTAATGGGGATTTTGACCTAACTTTAAATTATTCCTCAAGGAAAACAAAAAAGACAACCACAACTGGAGGATGTTCAAGTAGCTAGAGTCTCACTTTGGTGACTTGAGGTCTCGATGGATGATTTTGTGAAGGTGCAGATAATTCATCCCACTTGCGATCCCTGTGGACCAATCCACAAGCAGCCGAGGGGTGACTTTCCGCCCTGCTCGCAGGACTTCGTAGAGCTGTCCATGTGCACAGTACTCCATGATAATACAGTAGCATGGGGCTTGAGTGCAAACTCCCCTGTCAAAGGAAACACACAGCTAGTGAGGACCACAGTAAAAGTCCCAGAGCAGCTCTCAAAGGTGGCAGCCAAAGGGCAGGAGAGTAGCCTATTCAGTCTGCCTGGCCAAGGCTCTGCTAACAGCTCTCCTTCCTGAACAGGAAGGGGAATGTTCCTGCATGCTTTGGACAGGAGAAAGCTCATTTATGACAGGGATGGGTTTCCTTTAACTTTCACACCACGCGGATTTGTAGGGTTCACTGCATGCAAAGTACAGCATTAGGTGAGAATGGTGTCCACAGCTTTGTTTTCACCAAAATGTGTGACAACTGAAGAGGAAGGATGACCACCCATCTTTTTCTATAGACAGCTTAGTTCCTGGGTTTTAAAAACCTTAGTCAGGATACATAACCAAATAGCTCTTCCCGTGATAAAGGTATATTTCTAACAAGTTTCATAACCTACTTGAATGCAATGATGTTCGGATGTTTGAGTTTCCGCAAGTGCTTGATATCCGTTTCATTCTGATCTCTCACTTTCTTGATGGCCACCTCCTCCGCCCGGAATTTGCCCAGGAAGACAGCTCCCTGTGCACCACTGCCCAGCCACTGCAGCTCCGAGATCTCCTCAAATGGGACCTCCCATGTATCTAGGCACAGGCAAGCAAAGGGGATAAAAGATCAAGACCACACAAATGTTCTGCTTTAAGATCACACCAGGACAGCACCTACCATCTCCCATGCTAAATCTCAAAGGTGGACTTTTTTGGAGGTAGTAGACGGCATCTCCTCCCATTAGAGGTACAGCTGAGGCATGCACCACACACACTCACCCCCAGCATCCCTTTCATCTAGCTCCTCTCCCCCACCTTCCCCACCACAGTCACGCCCAGCCTGCTCCTTCCCATTCTCCCACCTGCTTTTTCAACAGAGCTCACCACCACCGCTAACCACTCAGGTGAGCTGCTTCCACTTAGCAGGCAGCAATTTAATGTACCAGGGACACTGGATTAACAATTTAGGGAGGACTGCTCCAAAACTGAACGAGGATGGTATCTCTTATGAAGTACTTGACTCCGTTGAGATGAGAAGACATATTTAATATTCACAACCGACAGAAAAAATATTGAGGATTGTCCATCCCTCACCCAAGATAGGGCAAAAATAGAAAATAAAAGTCAGAGATAGAAAGTTATAAACCACAGACCAGCAACCACCAAGTTACCCAACACAAAGCACATTAATCACCACTACCAGTCACAGAAACAGGCCTTTCCCGCACCAACATTGGGTATATCAGTGTCAAATAGGCTAAAAAATCTTAAGTGATTTTTACTCTTAGCACCCAAATGCCTCTTCAGAGGATACTGCCAGAGTTGTCCAGAGGCACTATATAAACTGTTTCAAGACAGCTGTGCCCATCAGAACAAAAAGCCTTGTTGGCTGGGAGTCACCTTGAAATTACCTTAACATACCCCAAACAGCAAGATAAAAGGCAGGCAATGGTTTATTTACTGTAACTCAATAAATGTCTAAGTTAAGAGAATAAATTATTTAGCAGCAAAACCAACAAGCAACCCTCTGATTTCCGAAATAAAAGCAAGTTGCACCTGTACAGATCCCTCTTTCAGATGTTTACAAAGATGTGTCTTCTTGTTTCATACAGTTTCCAAGCCATTGGGGTGTTCCCAGGACTGTAACTGGGATGATGCAGAAGTGTCCCTTTTAGCTACTGTCACCACTGAAGGGAAAGTTATATACCAAACTGCCTCTGGACTGATCTCAATTCACATCTTCCCCTGAGATCATTCCTGCAGCAGTCAGCCACTAGCTGGATGTCTCCTGCCAAATGCCTGGTCTCCAAGCATGGCCAGGGAAAGACATAGGCTCCCATCTGGAGCCAGATCCCAGCACTCTGCTCACTGAGCTAGAAAAAAACATGTTTATCTACAGCAAAAATTTCCTTCAACTTGGCAGGGCAAAGTTCAGTCCTCAGCAAGTTTCCTCACAGACACAAATCTATTTCTCATACTGATACATCCACTTGCAACCTTACATCATATACAAATATTAAGAGTGCATGCAGCTCTCAACTGAAAAAGCATTAGAACTAACCAACCCCAGTAACCATGGACTGGGCATGGATTATCCCTATCCTCAGTTTTCCATAATGACACTGTGAAGGTGATATTGTGTACCAGGCAACTTCTCTAAGGCACCCAAAGCATGGGAGTAGTGATGGGTAACTATATTGCTGTCACCTAGGAGCCCTAATTTGCTCTTAATATTACCTATTAACCTCTGCAATGAGAAAGGCTGAGGAAGACTGTAAACAAAGTAAGTGCAAGTTCATGCACTTCTTCCTGCAAAGCCATCTGTCATCTTGTGTTTATTCAGTAAGACAGATACTTTCCCATATCCCTCTCACACCCTGATCATCAGGGGCACGATTCAGGGAAGGGGATTCAGTGCAGCAACAACCAGTGAAACATGGTACATCTTAGGGAATTTTAAGAAGAAAAAAGAGCCAAATTATATGGAACATCAAACGCAACAGTAAGACAAAAGTAAAATTAAAACACCTCCACTGAATAGGAGCATGTTCCTACATTACAAGGCTGCCAGCATCAGCGATTTCATTGGGACCCATAACATAGCAGGCACTGAAAAGCTTCCTAAAGAAAGTGATGCTGGTGGAGAAAAGCACTGGACTGCGTTCAGTTGAAAACCAGGGTTTGAGAGCATTTCCTACTACAACCCAAACCCACCTACTAAAATATGTAAATTACCCTGCATATGTGCTCCCTATGGCTGCCTGGGACCACCCTCAAGGCCAACAGGCTGACAAGGGTCAGAAAGACAAAGTTAGTCTTATCAGCCCTGCAGAGGGGCAATGGGCAAGGCTGGAAAAGGGAGGACTCAACACACCACCAGGTGAATACAGATGAAAGTTGAGAGCATGCACATCACCCAGACAGCAGGTCTAAAGCTCTGCCCACTGCCTGTATGGATCTGTTCTGAACAGCCCACAACACCTTGAAGCAAAGACTGGTGAATTATTGCTGTCCCATCTACACAGCAGGTACAATGAGAAACTGAGATCTCTGTCACCTCAACCAACAGCTCGAAACAGAAACGGACATGCATAAACCAGCTGCAATAACTTGGGTGCCTGGCTATGATAATTCACCATAGTTATGTCAAAGAGCCTGTCCAGAAGAGTAACACCTCAGATGATCAGCAGGGTGACTAGGAAACACATCTGGACACACTAATCAAGACCAGGCTGCACCAGCAGCCTTGTTCAAAAAAGACCATTACCATTGCTTGCCTAAACATCCTTTGAGATTGCACAGACCTTGAATACAGCACTCCTCTTCCACCAGCATACGACAGATGAAGTTGCCTCCTGCCAGGATGGAGCAGTTTTTATTCCAGACTCTTCTGGGCCTAAAGAGAACTGTGGGATACCTCCCCTAAATAAATTAAAGTGTAATAGAAGCAGGAATTACGCAAGAGCTTGTGTTTCTAAGGTGATTAAGAGCCATTTGAGTATAATGATGGGAATCTGTTTCCCATGGGGAAGAAACACAGGAGCAGCCTGAGCCAATCTACTTGAAGCAAATTTTGCCATTTGCCAGCGCTGGCTGCTCACCAGCACTGGCGTTTTGACAAGAAGCATCTAGGGTTTACAAAAACCCCCACAAACACAAGCACACTTTGTAAAGCACCTCACTGCCCAGGTTGACACAAAAACACACACACTGGTGGTAAACACATAACTTGTGAAAGGGAAGGTGAAAGCAGCTCCTGAAGACAGATTCTTAACCCAAAGGAAATAGCTTGGTAGTCTAATGAGTCTGTAAAAACGCAAGTCAATATAAAGTGCTAGAGTCCCAACAATCCAAATTAAATAACTGGTAGACACAAATTAAAGAACAAAGTATATCTTCCTGAAAGCACTCACCAACAGCCTTCAGAAATCAGGGTAAACAACTGGAAAACATCATCAGGAGTGATTTTATGGGTCAAACACAAAATACTTAAAACTCAGATAATCAACCTACAGCCACTGAACAATACAGAAGCAAACACTCCCTGCAGGAATAACTGCTCACCGAGCAGACAGAGCATTTAACAGCAGCAACTGGCACTGCTTCGTCAAACAGTGGACCACCCTGCAGCAAATGCCAGTTGGCCAAAGCTCTGCCCAGTGTGGGTCCTCAAGGGGAGCACAGAAATGCATTCCTTCTGATGACCACCTCAGGTGTTGAGAAGCAAACTCAAGTACTAATTTCAACACAAAGATAATTTGGAATCTTGAAAAAGTTGTTCTTATCTTTACCCCATTCACCAAGTTACAAGCCAAGCCTTTCTGGGCAATACGGACTCAAGTATCAGACACCTGCAAAGGGCATGAAACCTATTTATATTCTGCTACTTGCAACCACACCACAACCTCACAGACACCACATCCTAAAGTCTGGGCCTGCAGGAGATCCAAAGCAAGTGAGCAGGGATGCCAGCAAGCAGCACAAACTACTAGGAAGCATCTGCAGGCAATGTGAAGTCCCCCACGGCTTCAGGTCCAAACTGGTCTCCCACCCCAGCTGCTGATTCAGGCCAACATAAAGGATTGCTCCTGGATAAGGCTTAAAGTATTTGTTTCATGAAAAGGGGAAAAAAAAAATAAAAAAAATCACCTGCACAGATCGGTGGCACCAGCCCAAAGCTGTAAATAAACTCCCATGGGAATGAAAGGCTACCACAAGCCTCCATTTACTGCTGAAAGAGCCAGAGACATTTCCTCAGCCTGTCCCCTCCAAGTGCATAGCACGTGCACAAACACAAACCTTGCAATGCCGACAGCAAACTCAAAGCATCCATGAGTCTATGGCTCTGAACATGTGACGACACTGAGAACAGCAAGATACTTATGTGTGCACAAATTGGAGCTCTGCATGTACCCTCCAAACACAACAATGCTCTCAGCTGCTCCGTTTCATTAGTTAGCATGTCAATCTTTTTTATTAGTTACTTTCACACAAAAGAAAGTGTCCCATGTGAGCCATTCAAAGCACATATTAAACTGTGATCTCCCATGCACCTGCTGTCCCAATTATACATGAAATACAAGCTTTTCATCTCACAGGTAGCTTTCCTGAAGCTACCCATCTAAGCCCACAGGCACAGGCAAGCACTCCACAGCAGGCAGCAGGGAACACTGACCAGGTGAGATAGTGCCTGTATGGAACAGTCACAGAGCTGCTGGAAGCAGCCAATGTAACTCTGTATCTGTAAACTATTCAAGGAAAGTTTTAGCTTCACTTAAAACCATGAGCATCCAAACCAAAGCAGTATAACACAGGCATATTGACACCACACCTCCTTTGAATGCTATCCAACGGCTCTGAAGTTTCTTTTCCTTCACAAGGGAGACTCCCCAGCCAGATGCAGTCTCTTCCAAAACTCACCACATCTGACTCCACATACTGTGCAATCCCCCCAGTAAGTGCTAATTCCCCAAGGAGTTTTCAGTCACTTTTTTTATTTATAGACTCAACCATGCGTGACATGCTGATTTTACAACATGCAGACAAAACTTCGAACCAACTTTGCCAAAGGATGTCAAAATCAAGTCAACTCTTGCTGAGCACACAGAATCATAGAATGGTGTGGACTCGAAGACACCTTAAAGATTATTCAGTTCCAGCCCCCTGCCACAGGCAGGGACACCTTCCACTAGACCAGGCTGTTCAAAGCCCTGTGCAACCTGGCCTTAAAAACTGCCAGGGATGGGGCAGCCACAGCTTCTCTGGGCACCCTGTGCCAGCGCCTCAGCACCCTCATAGGGAAAAGCTTCTGCCTAAGGTCTAATCTCACCCTCCCCTCTGTCAAGTTAAAGCCATTCCCCCTTGTTCTGTCCCTACAGGCCCTTGTAAAAAGCCCCAACATGTCATTTTACAGCTCTGTTCCTTCGTATTAGGAACTGTTCCTTCATATTAGGAACTGTTCCCCTACTCTGGGGCTTAGATATGAATCACTCAGATGGGTTTTCTAATCACGTATCTTACGATTTGCCTATCCAGGAAACTATTTGGTTAATACCGAGTCATGATCACGGCAATACAGGAGAATTCTACCCCATGGATTACAATGGTGGCCAGGCTGTTCCCATTTATAAGCCTCAACCATTTTGGCTCCTTAATTCTTATGACAGCTTGTTCTCTCCCCATCTGCCACTTCCCTCCCCCTTGTGCTAGGGGAGAAATTAGACACCAAAGGCAAAGCATACTCTGCTCTTTAGCTTTCAGTAACCCCTAAAGATATATGTATGCCACTGACTGGGACAGCACTTATTCCCAAACTAAACTTATACATGTATACATCTAAGTGAAAAATATATAAATGTTAAAGGACATATTTCTGGCATAATAAGTACCAAATGATATTTTAAAGAATAAAATTACTCCTGAACAAAAGTTCATGTAATATGCCCACAGAGAAATAGTACTGCTATTCAGTGATCAGCTGGAGATAGCCTTCACACATCCGTACAGGAATACAAATGCCTTCATCAATGTTTTTCATCTGGCATGAAAAAAAAGAAGATATGAAGTAGCTGTCTTCAACACAAGTATTTCTGATCCTCACTTACACAAATACTCGGTTCAGATTCAGACCTTGTTACAATGGTCCAAGGCATGGTTCAGAACAGGCAATTGTTTCTGAGTTCATTACAAGCTTTCTTTGCTACAAATGATAGCCTTTGGCTATACAGTGCAGGAGTTCTCTTTGCAAACCCGTATTAGGGCTACACAAGACAAAAAGTGGTCACATGAGAAGTTTAGGAAAAGCCATGGGTTGCTCTTCTCACCTTCACACATTCCCCCTAAAGCAATAAAGGTTTGCTTCCCTACTTACCTTGCTGTTGCAGTTTGTAGTCTGTGGAGTATGCCTTGCCTATGATGTTCCACACAGGCCGCAGACAACCAAAAAGTCCCTCAAGAAACCCACCGCTCCCACTGCCTGATCTGTTGAACTGGACTTTAACATCATCCGCTCCACTGTTGCTCTCTCCATCCATAGTGTTCCTGTTGCCCTGAGGAATGGCTGTTTCAGACTCATCCTGCTCTCGCAGCTGCAGCACACTGTTCTCAAATTGGTCCCTAGAGTCCTCGCTGATGCTGGTCAGCACTGCTGCAGTGACCGGGCTGCTCACATTTTCAATGAGGTCTGCCTGCAGTAAGCCCTTCTCACGCACATCCTCTATGAGCTCCGGGGATGGGTGGTTTCCAGCAGGTGCATGTTCATCATGTAACCTACTAAAGTCTTTGTCTTCACAGAAAGCTTTACTGATCGAGTTTGGAGAGGAAGACAAGCTCAGGCGCTCCTGAGTACTGGCCATGATGCAGTGAGTGTGCATCAAGGAGATGGTCTGAGCTGGTACTTAGAGAATGAGTACAACATAATTCAGATGTGACACATGGAGCCAGTACCTGAAACGAGAGGACGAAGAGCAACTTTCACATTTTCAGGTAAGTATTCTCACTAAGTGCACTTTCACCGAGGCGAGCTGATAATTAACCAGACATTCCAGACAACTGCTGATAGTTAGTAATTACTGCCCTGAAAGAAGTAAATAAATTATTCCAACAGAAACTCCACTCAGACTATAGTCTTGGTAACTCACGACATGAATTACTTTGTAAAAAAACACCACAAGTTTTAAACAAAGGCCTAAAGGTCAAAACCATGAAAATGTGTTTGCAGTAAAGACCTATTTCTTCATGGTTAACCATGGTTACAGCATTTATCAGACTCAAGCTGAGCCCCAGATGTTTCCCCGCTCAGGTATGGTTGAGTCCAGTCACTGTTTCTGGGTCTGGCACAGTCCACAAGTTCAGGATTCCTCTTCAAACCCTTGAGACAAGGCATTAGAAAACCAAAGCACAGTGACAAAAGTACCTTGAGTCCACCAAGAGATGGTTTGGAGCTGTCCCTTCAGAGCACCACCTAGTTATAACCATACTGGTCCTTTATTTTAATCCTTTCAAGTTCAAGGTAGCAAGGTAAGTTACACTCTCTGACCATGTAAATGTCACTCTCCTGAACAACTAAGACTCGGAGAGCTTACGGGAACAATCTTCTCTGATCTCCCTCCTTCAACAAGCCTGAAGAGCATCTCCTCACATTGCTCTCTGCTTTCTTCATGCATGAAATTCCTGGTAGGTTGCATATCAGAGCTGGTGTCCCATTTAAAAAGTTTCCCCATCTCTTGCTACATGCTCCACTGAAAGATCCTTTTTCCACTATCCAGCATAGCACCAAATTTCTACAGTGCCAGGGGTCACACTGCAAAAGCTGCCCACAGCCAAAGCACATTCCTGGGGTACAGCCACTTCTGAAATAAGAGTCTCTAGTTTTGCACCAGGAGTAATCAAGCACCTTCAGCCTGTAGCACAAAACACAGTTCAATTTAGAGTTCCATATGAGGTTGAAAGGGAGGAAAAAACCTAGCATTAACAGAAACTACTTTGTTAAAAAGCAAGCTCAGTTACACTGGTGCAAAGTCCCAGGATCTGCAAACAGCCACTGAAAGGAAGAAAGAGGTGGCCAGACAGCCCACAGCCAATTGAAAGGGAACAGCTCAGCCCCATAACTTCTCAAGATGAGGTCACTACAGAGATGAGAGATAAATCCCTCAGCCAGGTGTATGAGAAGCTTACGCCCTGGGCTTCAGTCCCTCTCTGACAGCAGAAGCAGCAAATGGGAACAGCCAGGAGCCTCTTATGTTCCCATATTTCTGCCTGATCACACCGGATATGCATAAAGCTTTATTAGAACATTGTTTAGCCTGTAAACTTTGTTCTTTGAAGGGAAACAAAACAGCAAGTGAGACAAAAACTGCAGCACAGTCCATACTAGTAAAGGAGCTGAGTTAGACTAGCACGGAAAGTTCAAGAGTTGGTTATTCCTGGCCTACCTGTAACCAGCACTACAGTAATCGATTCCCAGCACGGGAAGCTGTAGGGTGACTACACTAGTGTGGGTATGGTTACCTGTAGTAGCAATTACATGATCACAGATTTTGTTGTTGATAGAAAGAACAGCAAGAAGTTTCAGATCTGAACAGAATTTAAGACCTAAAGAGATATCAAACCAACTCTAATCCAGCATTTGTGAGCACTGCCCCTGCTCATTTCCAAAAGTCTGAGACAGGAGATTCTTTGAACAAAAATAATGAGACCAGTGTTCCTACAGAGAAATCTGCTTTGCATGCCATCTTGTTAAGCAACATAAATAAAACAGCAGTCAGTTTTCCCTGCAAGAAAGCTTAGAGTAAGAGGCGAAACAAGAATCTGAGGTAATGGTGTCATGAAGTATCTCAAATTTAAACAGATGGTAATTGCATTAAGGACTAAATCAGACTTAAAGGATAAAATTGTTTTGTTGTTACATGACTCTCAGAGTACACTAACTGTCTAGGATTTGGCTTTTAGCTTTCTATGTAGTTTTCAGACTTGGGAATGTTTGTGTAGATTTAACAGGGAAAGAACAGCTTCTCCTGTACATATTCCGTATTTTCCTAGTTTCTAAATGGATTATCAGCAGCATGTGTGTCTCCTCCTCTCCCCATGCATTTCTCAGTATTGCCTGGAAAGTTAAGCCCCTCTCTTCCATCCTGCTCCTGAAGCACCACAACATATATATATTCTGCTGCTAATAGCTACTAGACCACCCTGACCCTCAAGTTCACTTCTACTCTGATATCATTTGCCCTAGAGAAAACTACTTTCCCCCCATGACTGGGGCTCAGTCCAGGGCTCACAAGTGTACAGAGATCCCTCTCTTCGATTTCAATAAAAAGATCAGGTTTAGGAAATCTTGGATGTTCCAAATAAAAAGTCTTTAAGCACAGTGCCCTGCCGCATTATGTGCCACTGTGTGTGCTTCATGAGAAGAGGAGGCATGCAAAAGTTACACAATTATTTCCAAATTGTCATGGTACAGCCTTACTGAGGTACTTGCATCAGCAGCCTGAGTTTTCAGAGGTTTTGAGAGCATGAGACAGCAGCCTTCATTTGAAAATAACTTCATATCAAGACAACTTGAAGCGGTTCAGATATGTTGGGGGGGAGGGTAGAAGGCAGCTTCTGCCACAACGCATGGATGCTGACTTATTGAGGAAATTTAATTTTTTTAATTATCTTCCATTACAGTAAAGTCTACAATGTGCAGCCTCTTGTCTTAGCAAAGTCTGATCTAACACAGACAAATAAGGTTGTCTTTGACCTTGCCATCTCTTCAAGCAAGGGATGAAGAACATGTATCAAGCTTTACCGTCATGCCTCCCCTACTCTTTTGGTGAGAGTACCAAAGATATGGCTGATTGTGTTCATGTTGAACTCCTCCCAATAAAATAAATCTTAGTTTCATTCGATGCAAAGAAAACATTTTCTTGAAAGTTTAAAGTTTCTCTATAAATAGACTGTTTCTCAGCTGGAATGTTTATGACCTGTATGTGCTTCCTTAACTTTTACAGTGAAGACTGTAGTGAAGCAGTGTTCTATCTTTGCACTGTTTCTGCTGTAGCAGTCTTCAAGTCAAAAGCTGAGCACTGTGTGTGGAGGAATATTGTGTGCTTATTGAAGAAACTCAGATTTCACAATGTGCTGCTGCAAAAGCAGACTTCAAGGCAGACTCTGAACTATTTTGATGAGTTCATGCACTCTGAAGCTAACGAATTTATAAGGAAATTAGAGGCTCGGTGTAATTTTGCATGGCTACAACTTCTTGTAAATTATTCCATTTCCAGGGCAAAGCATTCTTCCAGGCAAACTCCCACCGTACCCAGACAAAAGGAGCACAAAGTGCACCTCTTCCAGTAAGAGCTGAAACTGTACCTCAATACATCAGACAGCCTGAACTGCAGTTCAAAACTATTAGGAAAGTGACAGCTTACCCAAATCAGCACCAGAGCAGGTGAGTAAGTTCTCACAATGCATTTTGCTTGATACTGTGTCTGCCAGTAAGTGTTCTCACACACACACAGAAACCAAAGCCCGCTATTTATGAGTGTGTCAAAGCAATGGTCAGGTTTGAAGACATGTGGCATGGGCCACAATGGAAGTTTATCCTTTAAAGAGCTGTGCTAAAAATAGAGCAACAAATCACAATTCCAGACACAGCATGCCAACAGACTGTATGCTGTAAAGGTTGCATAAGTACAAAGCGGTTGCCGCTCAGTTTCCTAATAGCACTAATGTCTAGTAATATTATTTTCTTTGAAGCATTAGTTTCTATATTACCCAGTCAAGCATATTCTATGCTTGCACTTCCAATATACAAAGGAAATAAAAGCAACTGTCTGATCCACGATTAAGGGCTGAAAAACAGCAGCTGGCAGAAACTAACCAGCTGATAAATGGCAAATATCAAGGACAGAATAAATTCCTGTCCATATCACTATTTGCATTTGAGCTCTGAAGTTCCCTGGATTTTTCCTGGTACTCAGTGTGATTTCCTTCTGGCTCCATTAGGTACAGCAAGGTAACAACAAACACCTTTCTGCACTGGTAAACGTGCAATTTACGTGTGTATCATCTCAAGACTACTGCAATACTCCTGGCTTAGGACAATACTTAAAACTGTTCTAGAATCTAACAAAAATACAAACAGCATGCTTATAAAGTGTATTTATCTTGCTACACAGATCCTGCAGCTCTGTTACCCTGCCCTTTGTGATTATTTCTCCATATCTACAAGGAATTTTTACAACAAGTTGACACCCAGTCCTCTTCCATCTCTTGACCTTCCACACTGTACAATGTCAGCACAGGAAAGCACTCAGAGTTGCTGAGCTGGCAAGTACCACCGTTTGCTGTCTCTTCTGACCTTTGTGTTTTGAAATCACATGATTTTATTACAAAGGATTCCAATAAACTCTCTTTTTCTGGTCTCCTGGTGAGGAAAGTGCTGTATGAGTGGATCTCATACTCCTCTTATGCTGCACTTTTATGGTTTTACAGTACTTGGAATATGTGTTTTGCATGGTTGTGTTGAACACAAACCATAATAGCAGATTTACTACTAGAGAATAAGTTACACATCATCAAAATGCAGCCTCTTTGTTTTCAGAGATTTTGGTTTAGGTTTCTGATTGGGATTTTTTTCTTTCCCTTCTCCAGGAAGGGGAATAGCTTGGGGTTTTTTAAAACAACCAACCTCTTGATCTCAAGATGCATTGCTCCTTCAAGGAAGCATGTTTCTTCCACATCACGACATAGATCCCACCTCTCGCCTGCATGAATGCTCAGCCACAATACAGCATCATTTTTAAATATTATAATTATGACACTGTCCAAGCATAATTAAACTATTACAAAACAGTTAAAAATGCTTCACCGGACCCACTTGAGATTTTCTGTCACTACACAGCTCTGAACACATCTGCACATATACCTTAACCCACTCTACAAGAAAACAGCAGATTTAC